CAGAGTTTATTCATTGGCCGAATGAGGCACACGGCTCACGCGCTGTACATGTTATAGTGCTGTAGTTTTTTTATTTTGCTCCACCACCGAAATTGTTCCAGGTTTCAGTAAACATCCCGAGGAAAACGAACCATTATTTGCATGGTTAGGATACAACACACAACCTTTACCTTATTTTTCTCCCAAGTCAAATTTGTATGAATCTCGATTGCAACACGTCTGTGAAAGTGAAAGTGGGTACAGTACAGTACCATTGTTTACGCGCTAGATTAAGTTGGATCTGGTTAGGTGTTAACAGGAGGGCCGAAGTTTTATTTAGTCAGATAAAAATTTCAAATGCGATGAATACTGTACACAGAAATGTGAACACAAAAAGTTATTTTTCGATTAAATCACGGTACGTTTGTATTTATCTTTATATATCAGTAACGAAGGCGGTGTCGGGGCATTGGGGCGTTCCACCACCAGTCCGGTCCAGCCTTCTGGACAGCAGTCAGCTTCCCGGGGGAGGGGAGGTTTCAGGTGACTGGGCTCAATAGGTCGGCGAGGCACCTCAACTACCTCAGCAGGCTAGGAGGGTTGTGGGCAAGGCACCTTAGACACTGTAGCAACAAACCCCGCAAACCTGCCACTAGCAGTTTGCGGGGTTTGGTGGCACATCTGTAGGCCACCCGTTCTCCTGGGGTACCTGAGTGGGTTTACTCGTTGGCGGGGTTGCCTCTGGGGCTTGGGTGTCAGGTAGGCAAATATATAGCCGTTTTCTTCAGCCTCAACCAACTCCAGCCATGAAAGGCTGGAGCCGGCGAAACAAATGATATCTATTTTTTCCAAACAAGTCATAGTGACAGAGCACACCTGTGACCACTAAGCGCATGCGTCTCGTAACGTCATAAAAACAATTGAAACTATTTAATAGTTTGACACACGGTAATATATATTTTATAGGGTTTGTATACTACTATTAATACTCTGTCTGCAATTAATGTCACCATTCATGTTGCTCTCTACTGGCTCAGCCAGGTCAATATTGTCCACTCTGTATCTGTAGTTTTCTGTTGAAATAAACTTTCAGTATCAAATATCAATATCGAAATTAAACTTCAATCCCTGGGTTTTCAGAGAAGCTGGAACCGCATGTTTCATTAACCAACTTCCTTTATTTTAGCATAAAATGAAAGTGACACGTTTGAATGTGCTTAAGCATTTAGCATAAAATTAATCCTAGTGTCATTACTGTAGCCCAAGGACGACTCCATGATGTGTTATTATTGTTTTGACGCAAACAGTTATTTTCACGGTACATTAACTTCGTGTTTTTTTCCTGTAAACACAAATACTTGCATTTTTTTATTTTTTTCCGAAAAAAAAAAAAACAAATAAGCATAAAACCCATTTGGGTCAGTGTTAACATTCTCTTGGTTACATTTGCGGAAAAAATAACCGACATGACTACAAACGTCCCATTCCTGTAATATACATTTTATTGCGTTTAGTCAGCCCAATCTCCGCCTTTCCTGACCTGGCTAATGGTTTTTTTTCGTGTGTGAGAGGGTTTTTTCAAGCGCCAGTGATAAACTCTTGGTGCTAACGAGTCGGCTCTGTCATTGCCTACCATTGTGTATAAGGTAGTAGGGAGGTACTACCGCCTGGGAAGATATTGGAAGCATAATGTGTTGTCTAATGGTAGACCCTGCTGCCATATGGCATCACGAAAATTGTGACCAAGTCCCAGGTTGTTGATCTGACTTTCTGCCTCATTTACACACAATTGCAGGGTCTCAATTGTTTCTCTTACTATTGACAACACAACATACATACAGTGTTTCTCACCATTGATATATTTGTTTTTAATTTTGTATGCCTTTATTATTATTATTATTATTATTATTATTATTATTATTATTATTTATTACTATTATTTTTATTAACATTATTATTTTATTATTTCTATTTTATATTTGTATTAGTTTAATTATTTATTATGAATTATTAATATTATTAATTATTATTATTACATTTTCGCCTCCAGGCCCCGATGTGGGCTAATCCCAGTAAAAAAAAAAAAAATAGCAAGCACTTTGGTGGCGGTTAGCCTAGCTTGTGAGCCGCACCTTGGGTCATTAGAAAATAAATAATATCCACGAGTCAAACCTAACAGAAGGTCGATAAGTGAGGTATATAAGTTTGAATTAAATCTGTTGATTCATGTTTAAGTGATTATTCCGTACATAAGATTTTCATATCGAGACCCAGGTCAGTAAAATGTCCATACAAGTTTACATTAGTCTCACATAATATATAGTGCAGGTTTACAAACAATGACAAACTAGAAGTCAACTAACCAAAAATAACACAAGATAGCCATTGACAAAGATACGGGGTCCATCCTCACTCACAAACGCCAGTACGATGAAAACTCCCAGCTGAAAATGTATGAATTATGGTAAACAACAAAAATAATTAATGTCTGGCTAAAGCATCAAGATTATACTGAAACTGCCTTAGCTAGAAACATTGATTTAACACGAGCTAGCGGACGGACTTAACATAGAGAACCGTAAGACATGATTATTCATGTTACTTTTGTGCTGAAGCCAACCGATAAAAGACATTCTTAAATCTTCAATTAGGCTTCGAAAAATATTCACCGTGCAATTCTAGACTCCAGTTTACGTGCATCACTTCTTAAAATTTTAAAGTCACCATCAAACAAGGAATTGAAAAAAGAAGTGGAAGTGCAGGTCAGCATTTTGGTTGTATCAGCTTGGAGGTTACCTTGAACACTTCCGCCAGCCGACGACTCTTACAAGGTCCACCAGGAGGGGCACGCGGAACATAGTCCACTCAACCCTGGACCCAGGAGTCTCAATATTTCATACACTAAATATTTCCTGGTAACTCAAGTTGTAATAAGACGTGTTTTACTAAAGCTACTGTAGTGCCACAAGTTGTACGTGTTTCTCCATGTCAATTTTCGGCTCACTGTACTCTGTAGCCGCGCAAAGCGAAGACAGAAACAAAAAGCACAGACATTATGCTTTATAAGTTAGCTAAGAACCTCTGATCACCATTCTTCCCGCCACGTCGTCTACACCGCGGGCCTGACCGAACCCAAATACACTTGCTTTCATTTCTATCCAGTCTGTGTATATTCTAATTTCTCAACTTTTTTTTTTCTTAACTCAAGTCTTTACTCTAAAAACCAAATTCCTTATGACTCCATTTTTAAGGGGAGATTGGAGGCCACGTAAAACACACACAAAAAAACAGCAGCATTCTTACTCAGATTTTCTCTCATTAACCCATATGTATTCAACACTAACAACAAATCACATATATATATCACTTGCTGCACCTGGTCCATTACACGACGCAAAATGGCCAGTTAAAATAAATAGCCGAGGTTAACTGAGAGGACAATTCTCGCCTCTCGTTATGGACGAGAATGTAATGATTCTCGAGAAACCTAAGCTAGTTTATCCTTACCACGAGCAAGATTCAGGGGCGGACCCAGGAATATCAAAATGGGGGTCCAAAAAGTTTTGGGTGGGGGGGGAACGTGATTTTTTTTTTGGGGGGGGAGGGCTATAAGCCCCTCAGATTTTTTTTTTAAATCTGACCGATACTATGGGCATTTTGAGGCCATTTTGAAGCCATGTGCACTTGATATTAGGAAATATTCTGAATAGTAAATACTCTTTACTATACAAAAAACACCCGAGTACAATACAGCATTAAAACAAAATATTGGAATTTTCTGATGGAAAAGGGGGGTCCGAACCCCCAGGATCCCCCTTGGATTGGCCCTTGCAAGAGAATGTGATGAGTACAATTTGTCGGCCACAGCGAGACGTAACGAGATCTGTCCCTGGGATTAGCTACGGCGTAAAAAAAATAAAAAAGTTAATATGAAAATATTTTGTCACGATTAGATTTTACCCTGAATGTCTCCTTATGTCCTAAGTGTCTCCGTGTATCTTGAGCAATGGTGGGCAAATTACTAAACATTTGTAATCGAGTAAAAGTAAAAATACTCGTCGAAAATAGTAATCAAGTAGAATTAAAATTACTAGCTTCACATGTACTTTATACTACATTGAAAAGTTTATGCAACGTGTAGTACATTGAAAAAATGTTGATTTCTGTAATCTATCGTTTATATTTGTTACTCCTTAAATGTTATTTACATTTTCTACTTTGAAATTATAAAAAAATAAACGCTTGGGTAAACTATTAAAATAAGTTTAGGAACTAAATTAGTTTCAAACCGTGAAATTTTTCTTCTTCAGAGGATCAGAGACTAGGATATAAACACAGCATCATAATTATCATCTCGTGCGATAAAGAGATATTGTTTGTATGTTGATACTACCGCATCGAAGAGCTTAATATCTAGATAACCTTTGTGTCAACGGAGCCCGAGTACTCGAGTCCCTAGTTGAGGGTTCTGAAGATTAATTGCTTGCTATTTCCACATTTACCCCCGGGGCAAGGTTTCATCGCACGTAACCAAAGTGGCTATTTAGCCGCAATTAAACATCTGTTACTCTATTTGCTACGGCCAGTCAATTAGTCTAAAAGGCCGTATATTGTATTTATTAGTTGGGCTACAGGTTATGTAACCTCGATCAAGGTAACATAACCACCACTTACTACCTGAAGAATCTAGTACTTCAGAAAATTTCGTTTTTCCGAATTCAACAAAAGCGCATAGGATTTTACGCCCATTAAATACAAGTTTATCCTCCCAGTAATATATTTCAGAAAACCAGGGTAAAATGAACATCCTATACGAGATAACGTTATCGGGACTCAGACGATGTTTTGATGTATTAACGTCAACAAGTCTTCCATATTCTCTCCTCAGAATCCGGAAATATGATAGACCACCAAGATAATTATCCGTTTGATAACCATTTTTTCTTGTTTTTGTTGTCATAAACGGAAGAAAACAAGCTGCCTGAACTGAAGTGCAGAGCTACAGTATACGCGAGGGTACCTTACAGTTGACACTATTGGGCTGAAGATGGCGTTGCGTTTTCTGCCTCTCCTATATCTGGCGACGGGTCTTGTGGCAGCATTTCAGGCACACCAAGGTAAATACTTCGTAATCCAGCATATCTATATAAATGAAAAATCCTGTGCAGAATAATTTATTTTTAGTTTTTCACTTTTGAAATTATTTATAAAATAGATATCTAAATTTGATTGACAATTTACATAGACTATATATAAATTACTATAAATGAAAATCGGGTGTTAAAGGAATATCAGCATCACACAATATCGGGTAAGGCGCAGTAGGCTTAACCGAGTTGTTACTCTGGGACCGGCAGTAGACCCATCGTCGCAGGAAGTAGTAAAGTAGAATAATGTCATTCGTCTGAGGTGATCTGGGAATTTTTTTTTTACAAAGATTTTGTTTTCAGGAATATCTTCTACTAAGTCCCGGGAGCGTCCTCCCCTCCCCCCGAAAAGTCCCCATGTTTCCCAAACTAAGGCAAACTTACGACGCATTTTTTCCACGCACATGCTTGCGTCTGACGCAATTTTCCAAAATTTAAAAGTTTGGTCAAAAAGGGACAAGTTTGGTGTCTAATATTTTTCAGCACGAAAAATCGATTAGAATGGTTTATTTTTAGCTCGCACCTTCTCGGAACCTCAAAATGGTAATTTTGACTCTTAGTGAGACAAGAATGTCTGAAAAATTATAAATTCAAATCTTGACTATAATAACTAGTACGGGTTTTAAACGCCATGTTTTCCGAGCTGGAAATCGATTAAAACACTGAAAGTTTACCTCATGTCTACGGGCCCCACTTTCATTGTACAGTGCCTAAAATGGATAAATGCTAGTTTCCGTAAAGGTTTTACAATATACTGTACGTGTCCTGAGTTGCTTGGTATCAGGACAAGGACTATTTACATAAAGTTATACGCATTAAATAAACACTCGAAATGGGTGATTACCTTAAGTAGTAATGTTAGTTTATATTACGTCATTACACCAAACTACGTACAAAGTATAAAGTTAGTATATCCTACAATACTGATGCTCAAGGTTATATATATATATATATATATATATATATATATATATATATATATATATATATATATATATATATATATATATATATATATATATATATATACTAAATTTCTTACATTATTTCTATCGTTCTGCTATTCAACATATTAGATTAGCAGTTACGATAATTCGAGTAGATCTCCACAAAATACTATATTGTACTGTATACCTAAATCAGATGATCCTCACAATACTGTACAGTTGTTCTAGTGCCCCTGCATTCAACAAACAACACAACTGTTAATTTCTTAGCTTACTGCTGCAGTAATTGTTAATTTGGGCAGATTGTATGGTCAAGAACATGATAGTGGAGACCAACATCATGTTCGACTCGCTGGACTTCTACAGCCTCGTCTACCCTGGGGAACACAACTTGACGGCAAGCATCGTCTGCCAAAGCAAGTCTGAATACGACCTCCTGACCTTCACTACTAATAATGTGACACTGAAGAGGTCACGATCCGATAACAATAATGTTTACCACAGTGTCCCTCCACAAGTCAGCGGATGGACAAGGTTTCGTCTTGGCTTGTTAAAAATGCTCACCGTACATGATGGCAATGGTGTGGCATGGCTTCCTGACGTGTCTCTCAACTGCACCGTTTCAGAAGTTACCATCAAGAACGGTAATCTCACCGGGCAATGTTCCTCCAACAACCCCACATGGCAGGTCAGAGGCAACCAGGCGGTGGACATTCTTTTTGTCAATCCTATGGATAACCTGAACTTTGGTGAGAAGATTACAGATTTAACGCTATTCTCAATGAAGAACTACAGGCCGTCGTTCAACGTGTGCGGTGCAGAGCTCAAGCTGGGTATCAGGAATGGGTCGCTAGCGATGAGTACGGGAGCTCCCCCTGAACCATTACCACCTGGCAGTCTCCGTCTCGCCCTCACCCTCCTCCACCAGAACGACCAGACCATCCTCAAGGTAATGTCGGATTTTAATGCTATGTGCGAGTTTTTAAATACTACTACCTTCTGTGTATTTAAATTTAAACCTTTATATCGCAGTGGGCGCGACATATTTTATTATCTGGCTAGCGGCACACAATTTTATTCAGCTGAGAGAAACCTCTGTCCTCTAAAGGGCTAAACATCTTTACTTTAAGCGTGTATAGTATCCTTAAATATCTTGTGGAATATCTGTACCTATACACATTGATATAATTGTGTGTGTGTGTGGGGGGGGTAATTATTAATACACCAGAATGGGTGTGCCTCCATATTTCCTATGTCCAAACTTGGTTAAAATTAAGTGCACGTGTAAAAATTTATTATGAAAAAACTTCAACTCGATGTTAAGAATTGTGCACGGGGGGGTTGGGGGGTGGGGTAATTTTAGGTGGATATTGGCTCCTGTGAAGCCAATTTTCAATTAGTACACAGAAGAGACAACGTTTGTGTTTGTAATGAGGTGGATCCACCTTTGGGGTATGGGAATGGCCACTTGGGCCAACCTTCCAAAATTTCAGCTCTTCAAAACTGTACCCAACCCTAGCGACGAACCACACAAACAGACGCTGTGCTTTATATAACTGACCATGTGTATAGTTTCATCTCATAACATTTCGCATGCTGCTAGTTTTAACGATAGGGTTAAATAATTTTTACAGCTATGATTACCTTTCTACCGCCAGGATTTCTTGAATGACCAGCCAACGAAGCTTTATGTCTTCTGTATTATAATTCACGGAAGTTGATACATTTGGTATACTCATGGTTATATTGGTCTTTTTAATGATAAATATAATAGAGTTCCTTAGTGAAAACACAAATATCTTTTTAAAAGTTCCATTATAGTGAATATTGGAAAGATACATATGGCCATGAATTTTCTGATATGGTGCTGCATCTCGGCTACCATAGGCAATCAAAATCAGCTAAACTGTAAGGGTTATAAAGCCTAAATCTGACGTAGCTTAAACGATAGGTAAGGAGGGTAGATAGTTATTAGAAACAATTAAATATGTTATTGATTTGGTTATGTGCTAGTTGCTTTAACATTAATAATAATAAACAATCACATGAAGTTAATCCAGACCACATATGCTATGATAATTTTAGATAGGTGGGAGAGTAAAGCTCGAGTGTTCTAAGAGAGACTGTTAAAAGGTTGAGAACGAGGGCATGGAGTTGGTGTCAACCAAGCTGTCGTGTGACCCAAGACGCATCAGAGTGCGAGGTAGCATATCTGACGGTAAAGCCGATGTACTTCTGCTGGTACAACACCTTCATCCATATTCAGGTATGTGTACTTAAAAATTATTCTCAGTAAATGATAAGCTGACATTGATGGGGAACAATGAATGATGTATGCGATACTGTATTAAGCAGATCTACACTAACTTTATACAAACCAATTTAAAAAAGAAAAAAAAAGAATATTTGATGATTTAATTTTGTGACAAATGCTTAAGTCTAACTAAAAGTCACCGGCATATTGTACAAAAAATATTCAAGACCGGATATTAGGAAAAACTGTTTTTGTTAAAGAGTTATAGGTAGGTGGTACAGTCTAGTGTCATCCATTAATCTGTGAGTGTATGGTTAAAAGTAATAATCATCTACTTAATAACTAATACATAGACAGGACCAAAATACAGTACAATTTTGTAACCCTTTTGCAAAAACAGTGGTTTCAACGGGTAAAGATGACGACAGTTGCTGGTCAACAAGTGCGGTGGTGGGGATATTGGTAGCCTCCATAATCATAATTCTTCTGGTGAATCTTCCAATTCGCTTCATCATTTTCCCCAAGGTCAGTACAATTTTCCTCATTACAACTTTACTCTTGTGATTTAAACTGTATATACTGTACACTGTTTCTATATATAGTACACCTGTATATGCTTAATTTTTTTAACCTCCCTCAGTGTGGTCATCAACATATCACCAGACGCAATCAACAAATCAGCAGACGTCGCCCCACCCGAAGACTCGCACAGTCCTCACCTCCTGTGCCATCCTACATGGAGCCTACAAACATTGTTATCACACCTGAGAAGCCAGAACCAAAGACCCACTTAATCGTCCTGCATTCCTGCTCGGATTCGTCCCACGGTGAGCCTATTTATGAGGAGGTCGGTGAGGTGATGAACATGAACAGTCTCTGTGAGTATATGGACACCAATGCCGAGTCCTGTATGGAGTCGGCTTCTTCCTCAGATGATAATTAAATATGAAGATTGTTTCCTAAGGTGTCAGGACCGTATCCTGAGCATGAGAATGGGGGAGTTACAGTGTTGGACAAAATACGCGATAGACATATATTCATGATTCTGAAGCTAATGTACTGTTTTAATCACAATCATTCATTGACTCCAACCTCGTCACGGAGCTCACAGTTTATAAATCAAGAATATAATCTATAAACATATGACTTTTTTCTGGGACAACCAAATTTTAGACCTCCCCCCCCCCTTTCCCCTGGTTACGGTCGTTATTATAATACTTGCATAAGAACTACAGAACCTTTTACAGAGAAAGAACAAAGAGGTTTTACAAAAGAAGTGGGTGTATTGATATAACATTTGGGCAAGAAAACAACAGAAAGGAGTATTTGTTCTATTTCTTGACTAATATTGTCAACAGAGACAGATTAAGAATGATTTGGGCCCCTTCGCTACTCGTGTTGATATCTGCAGTAAAATAACATTGGCGGGTTAACCGATAAGACCAAAGTGTGCAGAAAGATCTCTGCGAGCTTCAAGACGAAGAAATGGCTGGCAAGATTCAATTTAACACGAAGTGTAAGAGGCTGCACCTGGGACGAACCAACGGTAAAGAAGCGTATCATATGTCCCAATGGGAGGAAGAAACTGCATTAATAAAGACAATGCGAAAAGGACCTAGGTGTGTTGTTGACAATGAAGTGAATTTCACGGGTCATTGTGAGAAGATGAACCAAGAAATTAAATTATTAGGTCTTATAACAACGTCGTTAGATATCGAGGCCGTCCCTCGTAACGAACTTCATGAGTGAGGTGCTTCCCCACCTGGAGTACTGTTACCCCGTCTGGTCCCCGAGATTTGCTCTGGAGTGTCAGTTGATTGAAAATGTCCAAAGGAGGGCCACCAGACTGGTGCCTGCACTTCGGCACCTCAGCTGTCCAGAGAGATTAGAGAGCCTGCAACTGCCTAGCTTATACTACAGACGGGCAAGGGGGGACCTAACATCTCAAAGGGCACTGTACGCCCGCCACACAAGGGATCGCAGCTCAAGGTTGAAGCAGCCGCAAGTCCAGAAAACTGTGAGGAAACCTTTTCGGAGTGAGAGTTGTGAACTCTTGGAACTTCCTGCCAGAAAGTGTTTTGACGGAACCGAGCGTGAGCTGTTTCAAGGCCAGACTTGACAAGCACTGGAGCAGGTTCAGATACATTCAGGAGCCAGTACATGCCCAGTACTTGCCTACAGTGAGTAACAGAGACGTGACCGACTGCCCAAGCGGCTAACGAGCCAGTCAGAGTCGAAGAGGATGAAAGTAAAGGTTAGGACAAAAAATGAAGATAAATCTGCGCCTAAACAGCCTAGTTCTATATAAACAAAGACAACAGCCTTTAACTTGTCATTACATCGTAAATTATTAAGTATTTTGCTGTGCTAGACATCATACAGCAATATTACATACCTTGATATTGTGGAGTCAATAACATATCTAAATTATGGTAAAAACCATGAGAATTGATGATGGTGATGAAGATGAGATGGAGAGAAGAGAGCCGTTTGCTCCATGAAGATGGAAGACGGTGTAGGAGGAAGGTAAAGTTAGGAAGTGGGAAAGTGTGCCAGTCAGTTGATCCCTGTGTAATAGCGTCTGCAAACTTGGCTTGTAGAGCGTAACTGAGTGTTTCTCATGGGCCACAGCCAGATGTCAGCACGTAGATTTAATTTATCAAGTTGTACTGGCAAGCTATGGGCCCCCTCTACTCGGCCCATGGCGTCTCTACACCCTCTCCTTAACCCGGAATTGATTGTCAGCAAAGTTGATTAAGACTGTGAGCAATAGAAATAGGGCAACCTGCAATGTACAGCATTCGGAAAAGTAAAATGATTGACAAGGTAAGGAATGAAGATGTAAGAATGTGTGGTACTAAAATGTTCTTGGGATCTCATGGCAGGTGTCCGACAAGTGAAGAACAAAGATGATGCGAGGCAGACTACAGTAGGAAAGGGTGTGTTATGCAGGTGTCATGTTACAGTAGATAAAATGCTAGTACAGTACAGAAAATAGAAAGATAATATGATAGAATTACTGTGAAAATTTCTGAAGCTTTATAATAAATGTGGATTGAACTGATTAATTCTGCATACTTTAAATGCATACTGTGTTAATATGAGAAGTGTTGACTATTTCTGTTTGATTTTTTCATCCTTTGTCCTCTCTCTGTAGAATAGTGTACGATATGGTTTTCTTCCACTTCCCTCATCTTGTACATTTCTCAACTAAAAACCATCCCCATTTTCCTGAAATTTTTTTCCCTTAACTCACTCCAATGGATGTGGTTAGAATACAAACAATTTAATAGACAAATGATTCACTGACTAGATCCCACCCTGTGGATTGGCACTAAGAAGGGTGATCCGGCTGTAAGACTTTGGCCAACTAGAGTTATTCCCACCCACGGTTCTCTACAGCATTTTCTGGGCTGAGCCTGACACCCTTGGTTTGTTATGGTGAGCTGGAGGGGGGATCCCATCCTTGTTTTGGCCAATAGTTGTCATAAATGGGCATAAAACGTTGTTCATGATTAAGCACATTTCAAATAACCTCAGATCATATTTAGGATAAAGAAACCATATAATTAATATTGACCATGTGGTAATTAATGCCTGTACTGTTATCCGAAAACTTTGAAAATCCAAAATATATTATAGTGGCATTTTTTACTATTTAAATATACTTGTAATTCACTCTATAGTCAGCGGCCTACACAGCCTAACACTTAATTTTTTTATTTGGAGGTACATAAATAAATAACTGTTCTGTTCTTGTTTTTGTATGACATTAACCTTATCTATTATGCTATATATATATATATATATATATATATATGTGTTAATTTCAGTTATAAATATTACACATTAGTATATAACTATCACAGAGGTTTTATTTGGTGCTTAGTGAAATATAAGCTTTTTTATAATGACTCAGTAAACCAAAAATTTCAATTACTGTATCCGAAATGGTTCTGGTCCCAAGTATTTCGGATTTTTTAAGTACAGCCCGTAGTGACATTTCTGCATAAAACATTCTGGGTATGAACCACAACCACAGTAGGTGCCAAGTAATTAACATTGCACACTACACCAACTTAAAAATATGCACAGTTCCGTTCAGAAGTTCGTGGTACACTGGCGGTGAAGGGTGCATAGCCTGTTGTACCCTTCCTGGACGACAGGTCACTACGCCGACCCTCCCACCAACACACACAGTGGAACTGGCAGAGGAGCAGTGTGATTCGAACGAATACTCATCAAAAAAAAAGAGATTGGAAGGATATTGATGTGAAAATCGGCCAACATTACTGCTGATGGATGATGAAGATGTGTTCATATCTTGTTTATGAGAACAGAAATCTATAGTGATAGGAGTAACCATTCGAATATCAGAATACAATAGGAAAATTATTTTCGAATGAACACTAAGAAATAGTTGACCAGAGCGGATATATCAAATATACCAAGACTATGATTAACGGCAGCAGTCCAACGAAAACGATTAATGGCAACAATCGCCTTATGTATGCAGGTTGTCTCGTTTGGCCTCCGCGTTGGTTAGGGGGTTGCCTCGGCTGCCGCGATAATTGCAGCGTCATCTGCTGGGGTTGTCCTCCAAGGGGCTCCTGCTCTTCCGACTAACAGAATAGATCACATCCATATTCAGAATGATTTTGACACTCTAGGTTACCTAAACTGTAAATTTACATTTCAAATATAAACATGGTTAGAAATTATATGCCAGCTTCCATAACTCTACTCCATAATCTAAACAATAGTTTCAGTATCAAAAGGTTACAGAAGTGATTATTATTTCCAGATAGATCACCAATTTCAATAACAACAAAATTTAGCCTTATCCAGACATAACTACCCACAAATAGTGATGCTGAATTTGGCTGTTAATAAACTTAGGTTAGGATTCCTCTATCTACCTTTATAAATATTAATATTAAGTTCCGTGATCGAGCTTTTCCGAATCTTTACCTAAACTTTGAATATGATGCAGGTCTCTCATTCTCTTTCCATTCATCAATGCTGCTATGGTCCGCTCCTTTGTTGAGGCAGTTATAACTTACCTAAGTCGTTAAGGTTACCGCTCTCCTCTCATCATCTTATCCACTTCATCACAGTTGTGGGGGACAAGGCCAACTCCATGTGCCATACCCAGTATGGAGAGACCATTATCACGGAGAGTGATAATGCGACCTCAGAGCACCAACTTCTCGTCTCTCCGATTCAAGTTGGCTTGGTGAAGCTTCTGATCAGCGGCAAATAACACCACCACCTCGGTGAAACACACACACACACAGCCCACTTGTGTCGGTGTGTTTCAGTGTGTGTGTGTGTGTGTCGATGACGTAATACATATGAAGTAATGTTATTTAACACTTAATCGGCAATTATCACTATTCAGCGTAACACACACACACACACTGTATATATAGCTAGAGCATTATACGAAAAACTTCAAGTAATGAATACACTGAAGACTCTTGATATATGAGCTCTGTTCACCTACTTCTTAGTGTTCATTCGAAACCAATTTCCCTATTGTATTATGATATTCGAATGGATTCTCCTATCACTACAGTTTTCTTCTATCGTCAGTAGGATATTCATATCAATATCCTTCCCATCCCCTTTTGATGAGTATTCGTTCGAGTCACACTGCTCCGTTGCCAGTTCCACTGTGTGCGTGTGTTGGCAAGAAGTTCGGCGCAGTGACCTGTCGTCCAGAACGGGTACAACAGGCTATTCACCCTTCACCGCCAGTGTACCACGAACTTCTGAACGGAACTGTATATACTGTACTTTGGTTCAGTGTCACATCGGAATTATGCCACATAATAATTCCTGATATAACATAAATCTCTTTTAATGACTAATAATAAAAAATAACTAAAAACAAAAGATAATTGAGTATATCTGTATATGGAATTCAATGTGTGTGAGGAGGGTGTTGTACGCACTATACCTCACGCTCATATCATCACGTCAAAAACAGCCTGATACATAATATCCGCTTCATCTCATGAAGACTTATCTGCCTTTGAGTTTTAATGATGATGAAAAAAGTACACAGCTCAGAAAAAATACAGCAACTATCGATATCATAACACTATAGAACCCACAGAAAACATTTACTGTACTTTATAATTCAAAGCCAACAAACCATCATCTACAGACACCCAAATAAAGATATCCGGCACTACAACATACAGACCATGCATTGAAATTAAAACCCATTGTTATTCCTACAATAACCCCCCAAAATACTGATATCCACAATTATTTTGACAACCACAGAAAACACTGAAAACTGAGCTTCAAGAGTAATGGCAAACAAAATCTGTACCAGTATGTTACTGATGGAGCATGTAGCTATTCCTGTTATTATAAAACTGACTCCTAATCAATACTCAAAAGAAAATTTTCATTCGTTGCTTTTTGGAACAATTATTGAAAACTATACAGTACTTCAGATGAAATAAGCTGGGGTGCCTTATGTTCAATAGAAATAAGCTGGGGTGCCTTGTCTTCAAGTAAAATAATCTGGTGCGCACTGGGGTGTCTAATCTACAGGTGAAGTACGCAGGGGTGCTTAAATTTCAAGTGAAACAAACTGGGGTGGCTAATCTTCAGGTGAAATAAGCTGGGTGCCTAAATTTCAGGTGAAATAAGCTAGGGTGGCTAAATTCAGCTGATCCGTTTAATGTTATCCTAGACCTGAGCCACAAACATGAAGTAAACGTATAATTAGTCAGGTGAAAGTGAGTCCCACAGGCATGGTTGCCCGTTAAGGACGGTGTGGATACGGAAAACTGTATACCAAGACATAAAGGAAAGAACTCTTCTCCCGCATAAAGTCTACCTGTATATCCCTTGCTATATGCTAGGCAGGGGATCAGATTCACCAACGGGTTACAAACATCGCAAGTGTTTAAAAGTTCATAAACTCCTGCGGTGGTGATTCACTAAAGATTTACGAAGTCCACAACTAGATTTAGAATGGCTGACTTTCCTTCATAACTTACTGACTTTTGAGACCTCATAAGCTATTGTAAGGCGGAAATAAGGCCGTTTTCTCTACTATACAACCCATACCAAAACACACAGCGGGTCCGACTAATTACCCAAATGTACCCAAATATAGCCGGAATGAAGTCAAATAATGGTCCTAGATGAATAAATCGGACTGCCAATCACTTCTCGACTAGCATTTGGTGTCAGTCACAAAAAATTAGTAAACTTAATTTATATATATATATATATATATATATATATATATATATATATATATATATATATATATATATATATATATATATATATATATATATATATATGATATTGTTTTGGTCACAGGTTAACCATTGTCCTCAAACAATCATAATTCTATCTAATGACGCGAGAAGTACGTCTAGCAGCTGTGTTTTGGTATGGGTTGTATAGTAGAGAAAACGGCTTCATTTCCGCCTTACAATAGCTTATGAGGTCTCAAAAGTCACCGTAAGTTACGAAGAAAAGTCAGCCATTTTAAATCGAGTTGTGAACTTCCTAGGTCTTTAGTAAATCACCACCGCAGGAGTTTATGAACTTTTAAGCACTTACGATGTTGGTAACCCGTTAGTGAATGTGGGCCCTGGTGTAGCTACCACAACCGCTCTTACTGAAGACATCCAAGTGAGAATATTCCCTCAAGTAGGATAATAAATTAATAATTATCTTTTACTGCAAAATAATAAATGTTTTGCTTTGAGAAATTATCCCTAGATTTCTAAAGTTGGATGTCTATTACAGACTGACTATATAAAATTTTTGTGTTATTCAATAATCTGGTGTTATCATGTAAGGCTCCATGGGCTTGTGTGTGTTTTAGGTCGCAGCCGCAGGGTGGGGCCACACTTGACGGTGGACCAGCGCGTCAGCCTATTGGGACGTTCCATCCTTGGTCAGAAATGTCAGACCCAAATATTTGTTAATAAATTCACGTCAATGAAACTCATTTCATCACGATTATGGACAAATATCACGTTATTTGTGAGGTAAAGTTTTAGCTTCGGTCATCCCTGTTAAGATACAAATTATGTTGTCTTCTTAGGTTTGGTTAGCACATAATTTCAGCCATTTTTATATTTTCCCAACATAATACAGAAAATGAAATTAGAAAAGTTCGTAATGATCCCATTACGACAGCTTCTACACCTTAAACAAATCCATGCCTACTGCAGGTAGCCCTTGGACCGGCCATCCTCGTTATATGAGGAGCAACCATTACATAATATACCTTGGCAACAACAGCAAGTAGGCCGTAGCGACGAAATTCCCCCGCCCCTACCCACGCTTACCCGGAAAAAAATCTACTGAAGAATATTTAACAAGGAAGGCATACATTACCGTCTCCCCCTCCCTGGACCCCACAGTACAACATAACTTTTTTTGTCAACATACCTGCACTTAACTGCTAATAACCGCTACATAGAGTCCTGGAAGCTCTTACGGCGCCACAAACACAAGGCAATTTACAATCGGCGCACGTAAAATCCTGAAATCGCCATCAAATACTGCATCACCACACGCCACCATTAACGTACCTATAATGATAATTAGCAAGCCGGGAGTGCCGAACCCAAGGTACTCTACTCAAGATAGGAAAGTTCCAGCTAAAATATATGAAATGTGTGTATGGCACAGTTGCCAGATACCTCAATAATAGCGCCATCTATTGGCTGCATCCAGCAGTTATTAGTGACGTTATATACGTTGTGACGTCACGAGTGATATTTTTTAAATTTTCCATTTATTTTAGACATGTCAATACTCATTTATATATATGCATGTATTTATAAATATAAAGAAATAATGAAAACACTACTGTATAATTTTCAATGACTCCATTGCTTCAAGATCTTAGATGAGTTCAGAAATTAGAGCACAAAATCTTTTATCTGGCACAATTATCATACAATTACTGCAAGTGATGAATCACCTGTCATGCCGTTACACCACCCATAACACAGTCACAGCACCCATACCAGTCACACCACTCATACCAGTCACACCACCCATACCACAGTCACCACCCATGCCACAGTCACATCACCCATACCACAGTCACACCACCCATACCACAGTCACATCACCCATACCACAGTCACACCACCCATGCTTCAGTCACACCACCCCTTCAGTCACACCACCCATGCTTCAGTGCCACCCACCCATACCACAGTCACACCACCCATACCACAGTCACACCACCCATACCACAGTCACACCACCCATACCACAGTCACACCACCCATACCACAGTCACACCACCCATACCACAGTCACACCACCCATACCACAGTCACACCACCCATACCACAGTCACACCACCCATACCACAGTCACACCACCCATACCACAGTCACACCACCCATACCACAGTCACACCACCCAGACCACAGTCACACCACCCATACCACAGTCACACCACCCATACCACAGTCACACTACCCATACCACAGTCACATCACCCATACCACAGTCACACCACCCATACCACAGTCACATCACCCATACCACAGTCACACAACCCATACCACAGTCACACCATATTGAACTTCTATTGCTTGAAAATAAACCTTTTTCAGCTTTTTATTATCTTACCTTGGTTTTTGCTGTAGTCTCTTTAGTTTTTTTATAGTGAATGTTACTCAGCTGATGAAGAAGTAGTGTAGAGGTTGAGGATGATGATGATGATGATGTTTCTTCAGCAAAATTGTCATACAGGGATTGGATAAGTATGTTTATAAACTATGTGGGAGACAGCCCGAGAAGATTTTCCACCCGCTGAGTAACAACATGGTGCCTAGTTGGCCAAACTCTGTCTATCTACATTTCTGGGGGTAGAAGGACATGAAGGACCTCTGGTGGTGGAGAAACAACTGAGGCATCATACAGTAACTGGCCAGATTGTATGGTTACAGATTTACAGATTATATTACAGTCACAGGACACCAAGTTATCATGGCAGACTATTCAAAGTGACAAGAAAAATTCACATGTAATCATATTATAATAAGAGAATAAGATGATTTGTGGTTGTGGATCCTATATATTCAACAGTGATGGGGTTCCTATGCTGTATTTTTCATTCCAGTCTTGGGGGATCATAGGCCTATGGAAATAAAATTATTAGAAACAAAAACTACAGTACACGTTTTTTCTCTTTATTAAATAAATAAACATTCAGTAATTAGTTTTTCAATGTGGCAGTGTCTTCATACACCTGAGTAGTGATTTCAAGTGAGGAAATGAGTTGAAAATGATGACTTGTTGAACGATTAAATACACGTAATACACGCATTACAAAACAAAATTATCTAAACAAAAGTTGAAAGATAATATCAATCAGTCTTTTGTCTGCTAATATAATAGACTACACATAGCACCTTTTGAGATTCAAAGTATCATGATCACGATTAAGGCACTGAAAGGGAAACAGCCAAACACTTTTATAACTAAATTCTTGGGTATTTCCTTTTCTTAAAGTTTATAATCTTGTGGATTTTGTACGTCTCCAGAAAAAGGGACACAGAATATAATAATATAATCACACTTTAAATAGAACATGAGAGGACAACCCATAGGAATATAGTATTAAAATGAATGTAACAGTTGCATTGACATATACAGTAGTGCACATGACTGCCTTCTCAAGGATAAGGCACCATTACAGAGAATTTAGCACAATTGAAGAATCTTGAGTGGAGGCAGAACAATGACCACTGATTTCTTAGATGAATATAAGTAAAATCGCCTTTGTGCAAACAGCTACATTCACTAGAAATGGATAAGACTTCATTATCTGAAATTTAGCACAAATGAAGAATCTTGAGTGGAAGCAGAAAAGTAGTGTTGTACTTTCTTGGATGAGTACAAAGACCTAACTAATGAGGAACAATAAAAAATAGAGTAATGAACATACCCATTGAGTGAGACATTGGTATTGGTTAACCCAGGCATGTATACAGTAAATAAAACTGTTCAGGTCATTTGCCAAGGAACATTGGTCAGCGGAACAAATCATCATAGCTGATAATTTTTATGATCACAGAACGACACATCTTTAATTACAGTAATCACCAGTTGTTTGACCAGAAAAATTGTCACACTATTACGAGCTATTTTCTTTTCAAATGAAATTCAAGTCACATTAGTAAGTCACTTTACAACAGTGTCCTATCACAGCTATTAAATAAATTTATATAAAAAACACCTTTTTCCTTTGTGTATTCTGTAAAAGAAAAGCTTAAAAGATACCACAACAAACACATTGCCAAAACCCTGGTGTAGTGTTTTGAGTCTGGCTTTGCTATGACCAGACTGGCAATTATAAAGGAGATTGAATTTTCTTCTCATCAAGTATGATAGCAGCTGTAATCTCCAACTAATTCTGTTCAATTGTTGTACAGTATTTCATATTATTAATCTTCTTACTCACAGAAAGTGATCCTTATGCAGTTACTATATGGCACAATCTCTTGACAAACATGTCTTAAAGCAAGTGAGTCTTCACACTCACTATTTAAAATCACTTTCTTTTTCAAGATTAAATCATATTATTGCCTTGTACTGTACTTAAAATACAGGAATTCACATTCACAGAGTTCAGAGATAAAGTGCTGTACTGTACACTCTTTATTTCATGTTTCATTACAGAAAGCAAAAGAAATTTTGGTGTTCACAGTGTTCACACTTCAGTTCCTTCATCTTCTAAATTATTTCTAACAGTTATTGCTAATGTTTTCACTTTGACTGTCTGCAAATTACTTTCACTGTTTAGAGTCATGTTGGGTGGAAGTGTTTTGGGTCTCTCTAATGTTTTCCCTTCACCTTTTCTCCTGAACTCTTCCCGTTCATTCTTTAAACTACGCACAACAATCACTTTGTCCTTTTCTGAGTTTCTAAAGAATCTCTTTACAACCAGTAGGCCTGCAATGATGATGGCAAGCAAAACAATAAGAGTTATTACAACATACAAAACATTATGGAAGACCGAGTCATCAGAATTAGTGGCATTGGCTAATGTTATCTGAAAACCCCTCATGTTTGTTCCATTACGAGTGTGAAGAGATGTTAAAAAGGCTGGTACTGGAAGGTCTTCAGTAAGGTCAGATATCTCTCCAGAGGTATGGAGATCCTGCGAAGAATCTTCTGATGGCCCATTGGATATAACTGATCTTATACTTGCTGTATCCAGATCTGTTTTATAAATTTCCTCTTCATTACTGATATGAATATGACTCCTTGGAGATGCAACATGAGAGAAGGCTGTGTGGAGAGTTGTATCTCTTCGGTTTCGATCACTATTGGGGCCAATTGTATAAAGGACCTGCAGCAAAAGTTAAAATCATAAAAAATTCACATAACTATTAGTAATGCAAGCATTTGAATTCTCTTAAAAAATTATACCCATGACTTCACTTACTTCCCCAATAAATGTAAACAATACAGTATACTGTATTGGGCCCAGATTCACAACGACTTACGGTGACCATAAGTTTCTACGACCTTAAGGCTGAACGGGTGATTCACTACAATTTACAGTGACTGTAACCCAACTTATCATACAGTAAAAGATATGGTGGCCACTGAGCACCCATAAGATTTCTCAAGGTCGAAATAACTCCTATTTTTTCAAGTATACAACCCCCAAGACACACAGAGCAGTCAGACATACAGTACTTCAAGCTTTAGCTCATGACCGTGCACTCCTGAGAGAAAGGGTGTTTAGGGATCCTTTGGACCCTCTACAAATTGATGACCGCTTAATGCTACGTAGGATAATACTCTGGCTAGATATGTCTGTGTTAATAGCTTTGAGGTTTTTTGCAAGTGGTAGTTTCCAGTGTGTAGATGATGATGTTACTAGCTTAAGGCAATCAACTGTGACGTACCAACGGTAAGGAGGCGTATCATATGTCCCAACGAGATGAAGAAACTGCAATAATTGAAACTGAATATGAAAAGGACCTAGGTGTGCATGTTGACAATGAGCTGAAGTTCTCGGGATATTGCGAGAAGAAGGTAAATCAGGCAACTAAATTGTTAGGTCTCATAAAAAGGTCGTTCAGATATCTAGACAGTCCGTCCTTTGTAACAATCTTCAAGATTGAAGTGCTTCCCAGTCTGGTCCCCAAGATATGCTAGGGACTGTCAGTTGATTGAAAATGTCCAAAGGAGGGCCACCAGACTGGTGCCTGCACTATGGGACCTCAGCTACCCTGAGAGATTGGAGCGCCTGAACTTGCCTAGCTTATACTACAGATGGGCAAGGGGAGACCTAATTGAGGTGTATAAGCATATCAAAGGGCACTACCTGGAGCTGGCGGACGCTCACCCTACAAGGGGTCACAGCTCAAGGTTGAAGAAGCCGTAAGCCCAGAAAACTGTGAGGTGTAACTTTTTCGGAATAAGAGTTGTGAACTCTTGGAACAATCTGCCAGGGAGTGTTGTGACGAGACCGAATGTGAGTTCTTTCAAGACCAGACTTGACAAGCACTGGAGCAGGTTCAGATACATTCAGGAGCCTTTGCATGCCCAGTATATGCCAACAGTGCGTAACAGAGAAGTGACCGATTGCCCAAGCCGCTAACGAGCCGATCAGTGGTGAAGAGGATAAAAATAAAGTAAGAAATATAAAGTGCATTTGCTACAAACTAATAGTAATAATACTTATATTATTATTATCATTATTATTATTATTATTATTATTACAGGTAATATTATTATTAATACCTGTACAGTATTATTATACAATTATTATTTTGAATAATATTTTTATTAATTTTATTAATATGCATAATCTGCTGGTGTGGGTAACTTGTGATTGGTTAATATTCCTTCACAGTGTTTATTCCGGGGCACAGTGATTGGTCTAGCGAGGAAACAAAAATAAATACACCACAACGCCCTTTGGCAGTAGCTTACGGAACTAAACTTACTTGCGATAACCGTACGAACCTTTTGTGAATCACCTACAGTATTACCAATACTGTACAGTCACCGTAGCCTCTCGAGATAAGATAAGAGATACAATCAAAGTTATGGTCATGTAAGTGAATTTGGGCCCAGGTGTATAAATACTGTATATAATATCTTTTCTTACTGGGGGGGGTGTCCAGACTTATTCTCTCATCCCCAGAAACTGAAATACCTCGGCTTCAGCAATGCCACAATTAATTCCAGCCGAGGCACAGCTGCATACAGGCATTCCCCAATTTATAAAAGGGTTCCATGCCTGAAAAACCTTTCATAAATTGATTTTTGTATATTGGATCAGTTTCCCATACACCACTAATATAAAAGCTGAAAAGGAAGAGGGGAGGGGGAGGTTGCCATCATAATATGTTACACAATATTTTTATAAAGATAAAGTTTAGTGTTTGCAATGATTACAAACAAAAGAGAAATACCATACATGATATGGAGGACAAGGAAGTTACTGAAAAACAGCTACTGTACACTCACACAAACTACAGTATGTTGAACATTTATTTTAATCTTTAAATAACCAAATAAAGAAAACATCATTGCATACGTTTAATTAGTAAAGAATTTAACCAATATTAATTTCAAAAGCAATATGAAAACATTAATAACAATTTATTAGTAAAAATAAATATAAGTTATGATAATCAAGGTACTGTACACTATTGGGCTATTTATTCAAGCAAACAATATTCATTCATGAACTTGATACTTCTGGCAAATGTTGCAACTCACTAGAAGCTTCTGGAATGTCAACAAACCCATTTAACTTGCTCTTAAAACTCTCAACATCTAAATAAACAGTATTTAATTTTTTTTTGTATTTAAAGCATGCATACAATACTCTCTGGTAGATATTTCTAAAAGTGCATCTCAAACTCATGAACACATGACGACTCTTGCCCTTTCCAGTCTCTTACATATTATACTGTATCCATCTTCTGTTTTAGATTAAGCACACAGCATTTCCACTTAGCTGGATGGATGAGGTGATGATAGCGGTTTGCACCAGCATAATCATTCAAATAAGTGGAACTATAATCAAGGCACCCAGTGCATTTGGCCAAAATGGAGGATACACACAGTGTATCTAGTAGCCAGAAATGGAACCAAGGTGAAGCAGCACCAAATTCAAACTGATCTTGTTGATTTTCTTCAAATGTAACTAGACATTATTTACTGGAAACTGACTCCATCAAAAAAACGTTGGTTGTATGAGAGTTCCAGATGGTTTAATGCCAGATATCTGAGGTTATACTGCATAAAGTTTTACATATCTACACGTTTATATCCAAGAAACTGTTTAGTGAGTGTGTGGAGTGGTCTGAGTGGAGCACAATTGCAAAGGATGCTGTTGCGTTGCAAAGGTGAGTGTCAGGGGCAACTACGATGTCGTTTGTAGATTAACTTGTATAATTTTTTACCGTTTTTATGCTTTCATTGTTACTATACTATTTATATGCCTACAATTTTAAGTTTTAATGTTACAGTGTACAGTATAGTTAAAGCTAATTTTAAAGGTGCACATAGTGATCTAAACAGAGGCTTCACAGCCAGTTACTGTACTGTGGGATTACTGACATTTTAGGTCTGGTACTCCAAATTCTGAGAAAAAATCTATCTGACAAACCCAAGTCCCAAGAATGCTGGATAACCGGTCCTGTACCGGTATTGTCTTTTGCTTCTTTATGTAATACCAGAATTTTCTTGTAAAACCAATTTATATAATTTCCCACCTGATATTTTGCTTTATTACCTGTAAGTACCACTGGTGGCCAGAATTAACCTGGTAAAGGCCATCAGTGTTTAAGAGGAATCCATCAACACCTGAGAATTGACGAAGGGCATCAAACTTGGGTATATCCTCAGCAAAGTGTGCTATTATATGGGGGTGACTTGTGTTGCCCTCACTCATAGAAGGCTGTTCTCTATCCTGTAAGGGTCGTACAAAATAAAGAAAATGTATGGAAGTATATATTCCCACCTACACAGGATAAAACACACAATGAATGAACTAATGTGATAAAAGTGGGAAACTAGATTTGAAACATTTATAAACCAGATTACCTAAACTTATGAAATTACCATATTGTGATATTCTTGCATATTATAGTGGCACACTTTCATTTCCTTATTCTGATAACTTTTATCCTATGTATTCTAATTACTGCTCTCATGAATGCCATTACAGCCAGTTCTTATTTACTTTTCCTTTTGTATCTTAAGTCCATTCTTCACACTCACACAGTACAGTACTGTATGCCAATGATTCCCCAATAGTGTTGATCCTCATCTTTGCCTCCAAAAACATGTTTCTCTCCCCATACACTTGTCAATGCACATACTTTCCTTCCTTCTGTTAATGGATGAAGCATATATATATTTTTTTGAGAGGTGTAAACCACAATCTTTTGTTAGCTCAGGGAGTTGTGACCCTGTCTTACAAGCTAAGAGGATGCTTGGAAGTTGCCACTATAAAAATGGATTAGTGATAGGAAGGGCATCCAACTGTAAACTTGCATCATATTTATCTGATGGAAAATGGGAACCACACCGTAACGTAATCATGATGATGAAGCAAGAATTTTTGGGGTCCATGAACATGTCCCTATTTTTTCCATAAGAAGTTAATTTGTTAGGAATGATAAGCAAGAGATAGAGATCCTTCATAATCTAACCTCATTCTCCATCAAGGGAGTGACATATGCTCTTACTCAACAATTATATTTTATATCATACAGAATCCTAAAATACAGTACTGTACAGTAATATGCTTAAATTAATTTGGATAATCATCCACTTTCATGAGAGTGTATCCTCAGGAAATAAGGGTAAGCATACTTCATGACCTAAAACTAAAAAGAAATAAGACCTAATGCAGTATATCCCTACCAACCCTATGTGATCCCTGGAGTGAATCCAGGTCTCAATACACTACTGGAATCCTTGCACCACAAAGCCATGTTTAAATTACCAGAATGAGAAACCTGTGACGAAGCTTGCTGGAAGGCTGTATACATCCATATTGTGGTCCCTCTTGATAAAGCTCACCGGTTGGGTCATATGTTGGCACATACCTGAGCAGTGGTGAAGGTATAAGACAGTAATACTTGGCATGTGTATCTATATTATGCACAAATTTAAAAGAATGTCATCAAAAATAAAAAATCATAAACAACATTATATTACTTTGTACAGTGTACAATGATTTAATAAATAACCTCAGGCATAATAACATTAATCCCCAGTCATATTTACTGTGATATTAAACAATGACAACATCTTAAACAATTAGAAGTACTGAAATAAGACAATAAGATAAATACATACCCTTCTGCACCAGTACAAAGGAAAACTCGCTGAATGTATAATTGGTAGGCAGAATGGAGATCCTGACTTGGGTGCCACAACACTCTGCCGTAGATTGTCTGGCCTGGACCATAGCTTCCTTTATAATCCACCTCCTGTGTACACAACATCAAATGCATCAAATGTGTATATCTCTGTGTAAACTGTGACAAATTTTTTCTTGTTAGAGCATGAAATAATAGAAACCGTACAGTAGTATCTTCCTTTAACAAGCTGAACACGGGAATAACCCGGTTATCACAAAGGATGCGTTCCTAAGTCATTGCGAATATCAGGGCATTTTTTCCCATAAGAATTAATGAAAATATGGGGGATGCGTTCTCAGCCGGCAACTTTCACCACATATTTATTTATATACACAGTACAATCTGGAACAGTGGAAATTCAAGTCCAGTAGTAATCTCTCCGTTAACCGGAATCTTTGATCCCCGGAACTGTCCAATAGCCGGAAATTTTTTGAACATTCTGACAAATTTTGGGAAAAAATCTCTTCATTTCAGGCATGGGAATTTTTTTTGAGGATTGCATCATGTGAATTTTCGGAAAATTATGAAAAAATCGCTCACTTCTGTTTTTATATATGATCTGTGTTGTGCCTATCACCATTACTAGGCCTGCCTGCATCACAAGCTCAAGACAACAGCATCTGCTTGTGAGTACAGTATAGTGTACTGCATTTTATTTATTTACAATATACTGAACATGTGCAGTGGTGTTTGCATAAATAAATACATACTGTATAGCTCTGTGACTGTCTGTGTAAGATGCGTAATTTAGACTTTCAGAAAACTTTTCCCAATACCCGGAAAAATTCCGGGGATGTGCAACTTTTTCTGGGGATGAGAAAGTTTGTCTCCATACTACTGAAATCTCTGAATCCTGGAACCGGTCTGCACCAATTATTCCGGCTAATGGGGATATCACTTATAATAAAGCTTAAGCCATAGCAGTACACTCCTCCCCCCTCTCGCAGTACATTACAGTATTTTGATTTTTACTGTTTTCCTATTCATTTAGTCTTTTTCATGATATTCCTTTTTTATATAACTTACAGGGGACAATCTCCTCTTGGTAGCTCTCAGTTTCAATTAGGCAGTTTTAAAACTGCTTTCATTATATGACAGTGAGCTGATATTTAAATGTTCTTTGAAATGAGAGAAATGGTGCTATTAACTGTAGAAACTGTGCCAACATGTCTACTGACTAAAGAATGTTTTCAAAGATTAAGCTGGTGCCATCAAGCTTCACATGTGGAAAGTGACACGTGCATAAAAAGTTAAACAAAGAACTGTGCATATATATGAACAAAACTGTCTCACCTGCAAGTTATCAACCTGTCTTGGATCTGTAAGGAACAGAGCTGGACTGTTGAGAAGCTGGAAGTCTGTGTTGAGAGTGTAGACAAGCGGAACTGGACGATGAGTTTGTTGAATGGCAATAGGCAATGTGAAGGTTGCTGGAGGATGAGGTGTGCAAGGAAGTGGTTCAGTTACAGTGAAAGACTGTGTTGGGCTCACAGTACAGGGGATCAACTCCAACGTGTACTCCCCAGTATAGTCCTTGAGATTATAATCACTCACAGCTCGCCATACCTGATTAAACATAAACATGATTTATTATAAACAAATTAACTGTAGCTTGAAATTTTTATTATTTACAGGATACAGTTCTTGACTGACTGTCATCACCGAAGAAAGAAGATAAAGTAACAGAGTCCTTGCATGTCAGGCACTAGGAAACTCAATCAGTTACGCACTAAATAACATTTTAAAGTTCACAAGCTTTTACTGTGAATAAATATCAGTTACTTCTCAAAATTGAATATATTATCAATGTGCTGTACTGGCAGTTCTTCTTCCCTTTCATTTATATTGTTTATTCTTATGTACAGCATATTTACTTTCTTTGTAATACCCTGTAATATACTGTACCGTAAATATTTCAATCACAAATGAGAACTTTGGATATGACTACAGGTACAAAGAAACTATGAAACACTGTTGTATAGATGATCAAGATAAACTACATTGAAACATTGGTCATTATATCTACAGAGCATTGAATTAGACTCAAGTTTATCACTGTTTATACCAGTAAATCATCTACCTGTTCTGGGCCATCCCAAGTGGAAGCAGTCCACAGAAGTACAAGGGAGAATTGGATGTCCAGTTCTTTTGGAGCCTTGAGTTGAGATGAATACTCATCCAAGTTTGAGTGATGCAAAACAAACTGACCACGGAACTTTGCCATTGTCTTTAAGTCGATTACCAACCGACCAGATTCATCTATGGATATTCTTGTTACCTAAAAGGAGAAAAACAATAATTCATGACACAAGTAAAACAGCATCAGTGCTGAATAATATCAAGACTTTATTCATGGTCAATCACCTGACATAGCAAACTAAGAGGATTTTATGAAAATAAAGTTGACATGATGGAATTAATATTTCAAAGCATATTTGTCACTCAGTGAATTAAATTTGTGGGAGTGAAAACAAGGAGACAGTTTTTTATATCTTCTGCTACAGACATGATGCAGGCTGTATTGAAATTACAATATCTTTGTTAAGTAAGGTTGTTTTTACCATTAAACCAATTTAAAACAGATTTCCATTAACAGATTCAATAAAGCTTTTAAATTATTTTCTATAAAAAAGAGATACTTAAGTTTGTGACTAGTTTGAAAATTCAATGAAAAAAACCTGTATGAGTGCATCGTTAAGGTGAACATTGAGGCAGCCAGCATCCCTGATATGAGACTATGATGCAGTGTGAACACAAAGTTGTATAATTTTTGTTAATTTTATGCTTTCATTATTTATATTTATATGCTTTTATTATTGTTAATTATATGCCTACAATTAAGTTTTAATGTTACAGAGTACATACATTTAAAGCTAATTTTATGGGTGAATCTAGTGACGCGAAGTCTTCACAGCCAGGTGCTGTGACATCACAGGAGAAGGAGCATGGTATGTAGTATTACCATACAATACAGTAAGTATTTACAGAGGGGTCAACAGAACTGAGCATTATTCTGCTATGGTTAACAATGAACCCATCTTATCTTAATCTAATGTGCACATTTATGGACAAAATATACTAAAATTATTCTCTTTTCAATAATCAGGAATTTTAAGAACACCCTGAAGGATTAATGTGGCGATCGAGTGGATACAGGATCCACTTCCTGTTCCATGGGTCAGTGGCCTGATCCCCAGGCATTCCCAGTTCTCCCAGCTGTAAATGGGTACCTAAGTTTACTACTTGGGAAAGTGAATGTGGTCGTGTGCAGTACCGGTCATGCTGCCTCCTTGTGTACTGAAGGCTTGGTATACAGTGTGCTGTATCCACACTGTTCCTAATGGGCAGTCATGCCTATGAAACCCACTTTCATTTTCAATGTAAAATATTTCATTACTAGTTATGTATTTTGAATTTATATAATAATAAGTACAATAATAAAATTGCCACTTATTTTGAAATATCTGGTATTTAAAAGCCCCTTTCCTACCCTTTAGTTTGAAATAATGAGGTTCTAGTGTACTGTTCACACACACAAATTTGATATACAGTATATAAAAGAACAATAAAAACCAAGTACCTGTACAGTATTCTATTCTTTCATTTCACTCTACCTGTACAATGTTTTCAATGAATTTTGTTTTCCAAAGTACAAATAAAAAGTTTATATTCAGACTACTCTTCAAACTATAATAATGGACTTTATATGAGTACAGTGGTCCCTCAGTTAACGAGCACAATTCGTTCTAGAAGGTTGCTCATTAACAGAAAAATTCGTCAACCGAAACCATTGTTTCAATGGGTTTTTGGATAATTGGTTCCAGCTCACCGAAAATTGCCTAAAGTCTTCTGATCTGGTTTTCGTAAGAAATATTTCAGCTCTCTACCAAGTTATCTGATACTGTACACAGAAAACATCAAGTAACTTTTGGGTTGTTCACCTGTATCTTGGCAGTAAGAGTAGGCTGTGTGTGTAGACCCTGGTGCCATAGAAGCGTATTGTAATAAAGTGACACTGAAAGTTCTGTTCTGTGGTCGACTGATGCCCAGCCGGGTGGTGATGTTGCATACACATAAGAGATGTACAGAGGCACACGTACAGTTAGAAAACTCTGCCCGCCAGAGCCAACCTGAAGATAAAATGAGATATAATATTGAATAAAACTTGGAGAATGTTAGGATTAAAAAACATGCATTGAATAGGTCTTGAAAAACGATGGATACAGTAAAAAAAAATCTGAGACAACAATACTGAAAAAGCCGTTTTTTTCTAAAAACTAGTTTTTGTGATATAGCTCGAATGCAACGTCAGCAAGTGCTGCCTAGGTATGTTAATTCCTAGCCAATTCGCCAGGCCAACATACAGGCAATTAAAACATCTAATAATGACTTAATAAGTAATATTAGGAGGACACGTTGCCACCTGGCATTTAATTGCAATTCTCAAAGCCCCTCCTTCACCTTGCCACTATGCACATATATTCACTAACTTCCCAAATAATTATTAAATTAATTAAGTACTGTACATATTTGAAACTTTATATATTCACTTCTTATAATTCAATGACTATTTGTTTGAACATTTGATAATTGTTTGTACATCCTCAAGCAATTACAGGCTTGGTAGGCACAGTCAGGTTTACAATGAGATAGACCCTATATAAATTATGTCATCAAAGACTTTGTCTAATTGTTTCTGATAGACAAACAATGGTATTCATATTTATAGATAAAATACCATTTGCTATAAATTTTGGTGTGGCAATTTAATACCACCTGTTATTATTAATAAACAGTTACATTTGAATACCATTAAGAAATATTAATACAGTATAAGTTTATATACATAGGAATAGTTTGTTACAGTTACAGTTTATTTCTTAGGGTGAATATATAGTTAGAGCTTTACGGTTGTCCTCACAAACGTGTATAATGAACCATGCACCTAGTTACGGTACAAACAATACAATGTCTACATCAACAACCTGTGTTTAAGTACAGGTTGACAATCACTTATCCGAAATCCTTGGGGCCAGAGGCATTTCGGATTTCGGAATTTTTCGGTTTTCAGAATGGTTAGTTTATTTTTTTTTTTTTTTTTTTAGATCACCCGGGTATAAGTCACTGACCCACACTGGGGCCTGGGAGGCGAAAATATATTAGAAATTATAATAATAATAATAATAATAATAATTATAATAATAATAATAATAACAATAATAATAATTCATAGGTCCAGGTCGTGTTTCTCACTTTTGATCTTTTTTTCATTCTTGTATTTCTTTATTATTATTATTTTATTATTACAGTATTATTGTTATCATTATTATTTTATTTTGGTGTATTTTTTATTAAAATTTTTATTTACTATAATTATTATAATAATTATTATAATTATTATTACTATTACATTTTCGCCCCCCAGTCCCCGATGTGGGTCAGTGATCTATGCCTGGGTGGGCTAATTCATGTATAAAAAAAAAAGTTCGGTTTTCAGAGCTTTTTGGTTTTCGGAATTTCAGATAAAGGGTTGTCAACCTGTACAGCAGCCAAGGGTGTGAGAGCAACTGAGGTAGGGGTAAAACTGGGTGGGACAAGGGTGGAGTGAAGCAATATGAAAATAAAGGGAAACACTAAAAGTTAATCCCCAGTCATCTGGACTTCATTTAATCCAAATTTGCTATCTGGCATGGCAACTGCATGGCATCAACTTTTGTTTATCTGCTACTCTGTAAAGAGCTCAGAGGTAGTAGGCAGCTATCAAACAGGGAGGTGTTACTGCCTGGGAAAATATTGGAAGCATAATGTGTTGTCTAATGGTGGACCCTGCTGCCATTTGGCATCACAAAAATTGTGACCAAGTCCCAGGTTGCTGATCTTACTTTCTGCCTCATTTACACACAATTGCAGGGTCTCAATTAGTACTCTTACTTTGACAACACAGCATACATTTATAGTTTTCACTCGTGATTTTTTATTTTTTTTTATTTATTTATTGTTCTTTATCATTATTATTTATTTTATTATTTATTATTATTATTAATATTATATACAGGGCACACATTCCATTATCTATTGCTCTACACAAGATGTAAAATATTTTCTTACATATCAAAGCAGCAGCAAGTTTTATTGTGAATTCTTACAGAAAACATACCTGGAAATCTGAGACAACCTGACCACCACACCGGTCTACCAACTGTGACATTGAGAACCAGGCAGAGAAGGTCCACATACAAGTCTTCAGGTCCAAGTGACGATATAGTTGCAGTGTTTTATTCTGAAATAAATTGTGAGTACGATAACTATGTATGAAGTTTAACATCCTAATTCCCTAGGTTATATATCTTAAACTGTTCACAGCTAATATCCAAAATTATTACTTACACTTATATTGGGCTGTGTGTGTGTGTGTGTGTGTGCACACGCACGTGTCCATAATATGCTCAGAAAGTGGTGCGTACACTTAACATGAAACTTGGGAGAGGTTGATTTAATAATGCTTAAACAACTCTGTGTCTTATGTTCAGATCCTGCTTCCAATATAGCGACTATTTCACTCATATTGTTGCTACATAATATAGCTCAGCCACAAACCCATTAACCTTCACCAATCTATATTATGTCATAAACTTCACTTATTCAAACCATCTTTATATATGTACAGCATTTGCATCCATGAATCTATCTTTCAAGAGCTTTTTTTTTTTAACTAAAAATATAAATATGAAAGCCTTCTGAGTTATATAGCATATTTGTGAGTGACAAAAATATTTTAACAAATCTAATTAACTGAAGCTTACCTCCCGAAGATTTTCATCCCACTGATATGGCCTAGGATGAAGTGGAGACTGAAGTGGGGACTCATCCAAGAACCCAACTGATGGATCAAGGTTGGAGCACAGGTGATGCACTCGGTAGAGCTGTTCAGTTAAAAGGTATCGCAAATTGTGGATTGGAAGAGTTGACAACACAGGAACCATGCCATCTTGATGAGGAATTTCTACATATATCTTTACTGTGTTAGGGTGACTTTCATCTGTAGAATTAATGTATGACAGGGTGGCCATAAAAGACTGGCTCTGGAATCCACCTGGTTGTCCTGGCACAAGTGGTGTCTGGCATATCCCATTTTGAATGCCAATAGATATAGCTTTACTCCGCAGGGGAACTCCAAATACACCATCACTCTTGATAGGCTGGGCAATGCATCGTACCCAGAAGTGGCGAGCAAAGAACATTGAATCTAATACTTTAGTGTGTGGATTTGCAAATAAAGTACCATCTGTGAGTGAGTGAAAAGGAGTAAGACTTCCATCACCATCAGCAGGAACAGCAACCTCCCACGAATATTGTATGGAAGTAGAATTTAACCCAGCTTCAGAACACATCTCACCAGTAACAGTATTTTCAGGATATTTCATATCACAGGGTGTGATGCAAACTAGTGGGTATCCTGGACTTGCAGGTTCCCCAAGATGCTCTTCAATGTTATCGAAGTGCAGTAGAGAGACAACTATAGGAGGTGCTGGGAGGACTGAGCTGCCAGATGATTCATGGTCTAAAATTGTGATGGTGGCAGATATGATGGCTCCTAATTCAGCATTAATGGGGTCTTGAGGGCCCAGCACCACTGAGAGGGTCTCATGCCACTGGCGCTCAGGGTTGTGAACAATGGTGATTTCAACATCAACCCTGATGGTAAGCAAAACACAAGTCATAATATATATATATATATATATATATATATATATATATATATATATATATATATATATATATATATATATATATATATATATATATATATATATATATATATATATATATATATATATATATATATATATATATATATATATATATATACTCTATACAGTAGCTATTAACAGCAAATGCTAAATCCTTTACTGAGTCTTTTCTCTGGCATTTTCACAATAAACCTAACTTGGAAGTGTTCTAAAGGCTAACGGTGTCCATCAGAGGTCTCCATTTTTATTTCTGTCTTTGAGTTTACTTTATAATTTCCTACAACTTCCAGCCCTGTACACCTCTTAAGACAACCATTCTTTTCAGTTAGTTTTCATTATAAAAGCAGATCTCAAATGTTTCACATGTTATAATTAGACTAAAAAAGAATTATTCTCCAAATATTTTCAGTATTGTTACTGGGAATTCTTCAGGATTTACTGTAACTGCAGAGACTGTGCAACACTGAATTGTTGGAGGTCGGTCTACACACAAAACTCTTGTTCTGGATAGAATATGAAAAGTGGTGGTAATTTTATACCATTAAGGAGATGATATATGACAGAGACTGCAATTTTTTATTGCCGAGCAAGATCCATGGTAATTAACTGGATACTACTAAAGGAGTACGGTACATGCATAGTACAAGCTACTGTACTTTAATTTTACATAAATCTTAAAAGTTCTTACTGTAAGTGGTAGAAGTCAGTAACTAATCCTAACAATATTACGGTAGTGAATCTCTAGAGTTGTCAGACACATGGGAATTCCAGGACCCTAAAACTTAAAAGTTATAGTAGGTAGAAACAAATTAAATTATTAATTTAATTGGACATTTTTTTGAAGCATAAACTCTTCTGTTCACCATCAGTTGTTTCAAAATTGAAAACTTTAAATTCTAATCTTATAAATCTAAGTTCATTATTATCTACTTTTCTAATGTGTACAGGAGTAGTACTTTCTATCAGGTGAAGATTCAAATACACCTACAGTAGGTAGTAAGAGGGAATACTTACATTGTATCCCCGGGTGAGAACTCTACTTCAGCATGGAGTGGATGGTAGTCTGACCCTGAAGCAGCTGAACCATCCCTAGTTGAAACCATCACTCGGGAGACTTGAGATATGTCACCAAGTCTGATTATAGGGACAGTGAGGCTGGAAGTTAGATCCCTTGCTTGGGGTTCAGCAACTGTGTATACACCATGTTGTAGTGACACTCTTGGCCTGTCTTCCCAGTCCAGAATGGTCACTCGTACTATTTTATTTTCACCAATGTGAGGACGAAGGTCTGACGGAGAACCCGGGTGAGATAATTTAACGATAAACTTTTCTTCCTTCTCATACACCAAATCATCTAGAAGTCCAATTTCACATTCAACTTTGGAAACACCTTTTGGAAATGTCACTAAGGAATCCCTGGTATTAGGCCGCTCCATGAAGTCAATACCTGCCTTTGCTGACCGCTGACGTGTAAAGCAATACACAGTTGACACTCGACTAAGGTCCCCTGACCTCTGTATTGGGATCTTCACGACAGTTTGGTTTTCTCGCACTTTAACTTCAGGCACAGTAAACTGCATAGAAGGTGCATCTTCATCATCAAGTATGGTTACAATTGTTTCTGATAAAACACTACTAACAGATGCATTTTGGGCAGTGCTAATGAAGACTTTGAACCGCTCTGGGCCTTCAAGTTTTGGGTTAACTTTATCATCAATAAGATTAATGGTACAAGCTGCATGTTTTTGACTCTCCTCAAAATTTACTTGCTCTGAGTGGGGGACATAATCGAGAGAAGGCTGAGCTTCCTCTGGGGTATAAGACTTGGTAGCACACCAAACGGTTGATGGGTAACTTAAATCCACACCAGTGCGTTCTAACTGAACTGACACTGTACCATCACTTTCTGATACGTTATAGTCTGATTGAATGAAACTGATTGTACTGTGGTCATTGGGTCCTCTAATGGTGACAGTAGCTTCCTGTATCTCACCAAGTGTTACACCATCAGAAGGATCTTTCAATATTAATTTGAAATCTTCATTAACTTCAAATATTGAATCATCAATGATTTTTATGTTGCAAGAAGCAACTTGAATACCAGGAGGAAAAACAACCCTGGATGATTCCTCATAATAGCGATGTATAAAGTCACTTCCATTTGTTATTTGGTGTGGTTCAGATCCTTTAGCAGATCCATCTTCACTAACACATATCACAGACACAGGCAGGTTGACATCTCCTCTACGTTTCAAGCGAGCAAAGATCATCTCGTCAGTTTCACGGATAATAAAACGACTAGTTTCAAAAGCAATTGAAGGTTTGTCTTCATTGTCAATAATTGTTACCACTGACTTCTTTGGTTTTCCTAATAATGCATAATTTGGGTCAATTAACTTAACACTAAAAGACTCTGGACCTTCAAATATTTCATCATCAAGGATAGGTATCATACAGTACTTCTCAGTTTCTCCTTCATTAAACTGTACAGGTTCTGAAGTAACTTCAAAATCCTTATTTTGTGATCCATTTGACTTTCCTCTTGCAGAGCCTCCATGTGTGGTGCAGGTAACTGATGATTGTTGCTTCAAATTTCCACTCCTTTTCACCAATATTTTAACTTCACCATTAGTTTCTGTTACATTATACTCTCTTCTGGCCATTAAAAACCATGCCCACTGAATATGAAAGACATTGTCTGACACAACATTAGGTTTACTATCAGTTACTTCAAAGGTAAACTTATCATTGGTTATGTCATGTGTATAAGTGGTGAGCTCGTAGTATACATGACCTGCAATGATGTCAGCTGTTCAAAAGGAAAAAAGAAAAAGTAATTACTACAGTGAAACTTTGTAATAAATTCTTGCAATAATGCAGAAGCATAATAGATTAATACTACTGTACATACATCTTTTCTAACATTCAAAATACAGTAATATGTTAAAGTTAAATCTTAATCTTCTGCATTGTATAAGCCTAAGATTTTTTCACACTGATTGACTCATCAATGTTATGCAGTTGCCACTTTTGTCTTAAAAATAAAGAATCTGCCAAAAGAAAATACAAAGACTTGCCAAGTACTGTATATGAAATGAAAGAAGTTGAAGTAAGGAGGAATAAAATAATAAAGGTAGACATAGAGCAAAACTTAAACATTTGGAAAGAAAAAAATAGTCTGTCATTACAGTATAATTTAAATTATCACTGCATTTTTTCTTTGTGAAGGAAGTGTTTCACTTATTTCTTAGGCATAAGTATTAACTGCTACTTTATCAAGGCATCCATCTATTAGCCCTCCTCTCACTACTGTGGGAATGGTCAAAGGCAGACAACCCTTAAAATAGGGGAAAATGGTATATGTATTGAAACTGATGGAAAACAAGTGTGGAGGTGACAGTAAAGGCCTATCCAGTGTACTAACACTGGAAAGACTGCCCATATGGCTAGTAAGCTGATAGGTGAAAATTATATAAAAGATAAAAATACAAATTATGCTTACCTACATTATTTACCAGAACATGCACAATGTCTGATGTTTTTCCCCTAAAACACACTTTAAAATCACTTTCAATACATGTATGATGAGTTGTACTAAATGTATTTTCCCTAACAATTTCCTTGTAAAATAGGGATGCATCTTATCCGGCCGTGTGTCTTCTAGGTGGGCAAACGCGGCAGACGTTATATCAAACGTATTGTGTATTTGGTGTAAATTTCAAAACTCAATATTTACAACATCAGGTTACTTTACCTTGAGTAAATGAAGGTACAGGTCTCTCTCTGGTGGTGAGCCTAATGACACCATGATTAGGGGGCTGAGTCACAGAGAAAACAAGACTCTCAGGTAGGGTGTCTTCATCCTCTATGTGAAGTTCATGTGTTGTTATCAGGTTCTGAGCCTGTAAATGAATTAGATATTTCAAAGAACTTGGGTAAAGGGAACTGAATTACAATATATATCACTTGGTAGTACAGTACATGTCCTCTTTATATGTTGTACCGATATATGTCATTTCACACATATGTTGCTAACAAGTATAATATAGGAAGAAATTTTCATGATACATCATTCGTTTCACATACTGTATAAGTCATCTGCATCATCCACTATTTTATATGAAGTCTGTGTATCTGAATATAATGCATAAATAGTGTTCAAAAAATCTAATACTGTATAATATAAAAATAACTATACAGTGGTAAGTAATAAAAGTGCCCTACAAGTGTTAAGTTACTGCAACACCAAAATGTGTCAGTCATTTCTCACACAACTGCATGTTAACCATTGTTATACAGTTTTACCCCGCTTAACGCGCTTAACGCTGGTTTTTCCACAGCTAGCGGTGAGTGGTCCTGCCCGGAGATGCTATTTTAGATTTTGACCATGGCATGCCACCCGCCCGCCTGCCTGCCTGCCTCTCCCTCCTCCCTCTCCCTCTCCACGGCAAATAAGCGGCGGCCTTGGCCAGAGTTGTTCTTGGTGTCGTATACTGTTAATTTATCACTGACGTCATATAGCGTCTCGGACTGTGATTAGCCATGCAGCCTACCCTCTGCTGCTAGCTGTAATTGGCTTAAAAGTATTATGGCCGTGGCCTTCTGGCGGGGGAGGAGGGAGGAGGAGGAGGCGGCCTTGGCCTGGCAGCGGCAGTTCATCCCTCAAAGTACACGCGGGTGCTTGCCTCCGTGTTCATCAAGTAGCCATGATCCCACCACCCCCAGAGAGAAACCTTTCCTTACCTGGACCCAGCGGCACTAAACCAAAGAAGACACGACGTTCATTAAGCTACGAGCTGAAGTACCAAATTGTTCAAGATTTGGAGAAAGGAAGACGCCAAGTTGATCTCGCGCGCCAGCATGGCGTCAACGAATCTACGATTCGTACAATAAAGAAGGATGCAGCCAAGATAAAGGAGCACATGAAGATCACAAAGTCTGCAGGTGCTTCATCTATCAGGTATTGCCAGAACAGGGTGCTGGCAAAAGTGGAAACTTTGCTGGTGAGTTATTTGGTGCGTCAGGCGCGACGCAACATGGCGGTGGACACGCGCTCAGTGCAGGAGTACGCACGTGAGCTATACGCAGCAGTGACACGTAAACTGGGAATTGCAGAGCCCAAACCCTTCAATGCTTCCCATGGTTGGCTGCATAGGTTTAAGAGGAGGAACAAGGTCACCAACATCAGCATTGTTGGTGAGGAAGCGAGTGCTGACCGTGCGGCGGCTAGAGATTTTCCTCCGTTTTTACGTGAGATTATGGAGGAAGGACAGTACAGTGACGACCAGGTGTTTAACATGGACGAATCTGGTCTTTTCTGGAAAAAGTTACCTTCCAAGACCTTCGTTGTCCAGTCTGCGAGCAAGGTAAGGGGCCGGAAGATGCAGAAGGAACGCATCACCGTCCTGTTTACCACCAATGCCTCCGGTACCTGTAAACCAAAGTTATCGGTGATTCACAAAGCCCGCAAGCCGCACGCCTACAAGAATATGGACATGAACAAGCTTAATGTCCACTGGCTAACCGCACGTAAGGCGTGGATGTCCTCTTCTCTGTCCCTCTTCTGGTTTGACAACTGTTTTGTTCCTGACGTGCAGAAATTCTGCGAGCAACAGAATGTTCCTTTCAATATTTTGTTGCTCCTTGACAACGCACCTGGACACTCGCCCCTACTTATGGATCGTCACCCCAACGTAAAAGTGGTCTTCCTTCCTCCCAACACTACGTCATTAATCCAGCCCATGGACCAGGAGTTAATCTGCAATGTTAAAGCTGCATACTCGGCAAAGAAATTCAAGCTCCTGAACGACTCTACCAACACCAAGGATGAGTTGCGTAAGCTGGGTGACACCGACAGCGAGAGTAAAAGCGACGAGGACAAGGAACAAGAGGCGGCGACTCAAGAACTTCTCGTCAAACAATTTTGGAAGAAGTTTAACGTCAAACAAGCTGTAGACTTCTTGGTGGAGGCATGGAATCTGCTGTCTATTGCTACGATTCGTCACGCATGGAGACATGTGTTGCATGGCATACCAGGTGAGAGGAGGAGTGAACCTGTGACTGGTCAGGTTCAGACTGTTGCAGTAGCAGTGGACCTTGCCAGAGAAGCTGCGCTCAGTATTACAGCTGAAGGCTTCTCCGAGACCACCAACGAAGACATCATGGAGGTGATCAGAGATCCTGAAGTGACTGCCGACGAGATGTTGGAAGAAGAACCCGCCAGTGAAGAGGAGGAAGAAGGTGCGTCATTCTCCGAAGAACCTAGTTTAAGTCATAGTGATATTAAGTGTGTCATAGAGTTAACAGAAAAAATTAAGTCCATCGTTTCCCGCGACACTGACGATGAACGCCATGACGTCTTCCATACCCGACTGGTGCAGGCTATGGAGCCGTACATCACGGTGTATCATGACAACATCAAAGCCAGCCGTCAGCAAAGCATAACCGAGTTCTTCGCCCGCAACCCACCACAGCCAGCCCAAGCCAGTGATAGTGATAGTGAAGTTGATTTTGAGGGATTTGTCAGGGAAGCCATAACAACTGTAAGTGACAGTGATATTGATTCACCTAGTAATGGTGATTCACCTAGTAATGGTGATTCACCTGAGGGGCAGTAATCTGCCCTCTGCCTCGGAACCAGCCTCCATCCCCGTATGCCGACCCATCTCTTCTACTACCGTGAGTGTTCCTCAAAAATTTTCGTTTTTTAACCTATTCTTTATTTTTCCTATGTTAACCTTTATCTTTCCTAACCTAACCTCTTCTATATTACTTGTTTTTCATGCCACCATAAAGTTAAGATAGAATTTTTACTACAACATAGTTATTTGTCGTCAAAAAGTGGAGTTTGGGGGTCGGGCTGGGTTCTATTGGAATTAATCCCATATGTTCTGTTATTCACTTAACGCGGTTTTCACTTAACGCGGGACCCTCTGGGTTCAATTGACCGCGTTAAGTGGGGTACAACTGTATGTAAGTAACCACAGAATTAGCAGAAAAGTCATCTTAAAGCATTAGTGTGCCTTCAGAATAAAGAAAATTTCTTCCCCCTTTTGAGCTGATGATACTTTGATGTTCACATGGACTTGGGTCTGGTTAAGATATTTTTTATTTTTTTCAGTGGCTGAAAGTTTACTAAGTACAGTAGTACAGTATAACCCCAAAAATTCTTACCCTGCCTTCCTTCTGTTGTAGAAAATGGAGTCCCCTGTTTGATGTTAGTATTGGTGTCCCATCATCTACTGCTGAGATTTCCACATGGATGGTAGAGGGCCGAGTGTCGACATCCTCACTCCTCCCATGTTGGTACATTGTGTTGGTGGAGTCTGACACTACGACGTCAAAGGAGTCTCGGTATGTGTCAGAACCATCGTGGAGGTAAGACACGTCCCCGTTATATATATCTAGCATTGTGAAAGTCTTCGGAAGAGACAGTATGAATACTGTAATTAATTCTTTTATATATATATATATGGATGTTTAGATAATTATTTTATGTGAATGACAGCTGCCAAAAGCTTCTCTAATAAAAAACTGTAGACTTGTTGTCACCTGTCCTGTCTGTATATTGCATTTATCAAACTGCCAGGAAGAATACAGTACTTAATACTGTACTTTCAGATACTGTACTCTTAGTCATTACTATTATTTTTTATATCTTACTATTTTATGTTAACTGTGAATAAATTGATTTTATAAATGTTGTTTTTATTTATCATAATTAAGAATCAAAAGTGGATAGGAGAAATACATTATCTTTAGTCACCATATCGTCATACACCATACTGTTGCTGCCTCAACTATGGAAAGGGATTTGCCATGGAATTACCAAAAGTGAAGCAAGTGATCTTTCACTTATTCAGCACACAATTACTATTACTCTGACACCATTTGTTGATGAGTTTTTGTAATGGTCTGGCCGTCACACTGGGAACCACACATGGAGTAAAAGTAAAAATGGAAAACTATAAAAAAAATGGTTGACATACTGGCAGTGAAAAATTATTTATAAATGGGTTCCATGGAATTTGTTGAGTTAAAGTTTTGTCCTGTACTTACTCTTTATTAAGAATATAAGAAAAAAGAGTCATTTACTTCAGGAGGTAGTACAATTCAGACTATGTATAGTGGAAATACCAGGAAAGGTAAGAAAATTAAAATTAGTAAGAAATAATGTCTGAAACATTTTGTGACATGAATATAGTATTTTGATGATCCACTTTTGAGTAACAAATGTATCTACCGAATTAAAAAAAGGAAGCAATGGCTAAAATCTTCTACTTTACTATAGTTTAGACTTCTTCAATGGTTCTTCCCACAAATCATGGCAGAAGGGTGTTTCTTTCACTCACTCCTCTTACAAGATTTTACAGCAAAATTTTCAAATACCAACCTTAAAATCCATATAGTCTTCGTTCACAACCACCTGTAGCTTTCCATGTTGGGGCCCTCGTACCACAGTGAAAGTGATCAGTTCATCTCTTGTGTCAGCATCTAAAGCTTCTAGTTCAAACTGAGAGATGATTTTCCTGGTTCCTTCCTGAACTTTGATGTGGTTTGTAACAAGAAGGGGAAGTTCATCATCCACAGGATTGATGTTGATGTTGAAAGACTGACTCACATTATTATACCTGGTTGAAAAAGGGCTTACAAGTCAATGTCCTAAGCCAACAATTATACTACAAACTTACAGTGAAATATTAATCCCATTTTCAGTTCTAAAATTCTGGGGGAATTTAAGCTAATTAAAATCCCCTCTGGTACTGCTTTTATATTTCTGAATTTAACTCTGTAAAAGTTTACCAAGCTTATATGTAAACAGTTTAAAAACAACAAATGCAGTCCAAGTCAAATAACTCCTCAAATGTGAATTAAGTAAATATATTTTTTACTAACCCATCTGAAACAATAAAAGTGAACTCGTCTGTAGTGCTCTCATCCATGGTCTGATGTTGGTACTGAAGAAGCCCCAACTCTAATGCTCCTTGAGTCCATGTTGACACGGCCTTTCCCGGAATTGTTGTTAGCTCGAGTCGTCCATGACTTGGCCCACTCAACAGCTTATTCAAATATTCAGATAATCTTTTATGAAACAATATACATTGAGGAGGACAATTTTGTACAATAATCAACATTCTTGTTGCATCCTAAACATGAATGCTTTTCAATACAGTACTTGATATTCATTTCTAGTTTAATATACTTACAGCATAGATTAAATCCATGGGATCTAACTCAGTATCGGTGGCTGAGAGAAGGTCTGCAGTAAGAGCAGCTGAAGCATCCTCCATGAGGGTAAGGCCCATGTTGATAGTAATGCGTGGTGGCTCTTTATCTTCTAGCACGGTGATAGAGAGGGCTTGATCCATCATCACGTTCCCTTCTGTATCTTGGAGGTTAAAACGTAGAGTATCTGTTCCACTCGGTGTATCTTTCTTGTGCACAAACCTGTCAAATAATTTGTTTAAGTAGCAAACAATATAAATGTGAGCAACAGAGTAATACAACACTGTTTATAAAGTGCATTATGCTAAAACTTGTGAAGTATGTTTACATGTGTAAAGATACACAACTAATGCTGTCATCTTACCTAACGTTGCCATTGAGGATGTCTTTCTGCATAAACATGGAGCCCACAACTAATGGACTCCATATATCAGATTGAGGTTGGTATATCTCAAGTTTTCCAGATACTGGTAAACTGGTTACAACATATTTTATCATCTCAGTCTCAGAATCAACATCCTCAGCAATTAGCAGAGAGGGAGAGATGATTGAGACCTCACCAGCTTTGAGTGTGAGGCCATGGTTGAGGAGTAATCTTGGAGCCTCATCCGTCTTCTGCAGTATGATGAACTCAACTATTCCACCTGTTTCGTGGTTGCTGTCACTAACCTGAAAATTTATTATACTGTAGTATAATAGTAAAAATCCATAACTTGATGTCTGTCTGTGTATATAGCATATTTTTATCCAAAATAAAGTTACACCATTTTAGGTAGCAAATCTTTCTTCTGAAATTATTAATGTAAAATTTCATATCATGACACTCTCTGGTAATTTTCATCATCACACACTTTTTAATAAGTTGTAGCAGATTACCATAATTTCCATAATGTCTTCTGGGTCTCTAGAGCCATCATGACTATAGAGAATAAGCTCATCTAACAGGTCTTGAAAAGTGAAGCTCTGACCTCTAGTAAGCAGCTCACTGTTTTTGATAGAAGATTCTTGGGATATCTTCCTGTGTAGAGATCCTATAGGAGAGATATAAAGTGTCTGATAAAACTTATTGGTGGACAACATTAAATCAATATATGACTCATTATCTATTTACATATAAAAAAGGTTCCCATTCCACCACTATCTTACCACGACTGGGTGGTTGTTCTATTTTCACAATGAGGTCCTCAGGCTCAGTGTCTGTGTCAGATATGAAGAGTGACTGGTTGCGGATGACTACAGTCTGACCTTTTTCTACCACCACCTGCTCTCCTAATATAACTGGCGACTCATCATTCGTAGGCTGTGAACAAAGAATACTGTACTATCTTATATTTCAAACTGATGTACATCCTCCTTTACAATCAAATGAACAAAAGTTTCAATAAAATTTCTACACATACTGTTGCTACTGTGTACAATTAAAATTAGTAGGAAGCCAGAGATCTATTCTATCAGTACACGTTTTCTTTAAAAAATTTTTTTGTTCATACGGTTGATTCCTACATCAGAGACTTCTAGGAAAAAGGTTCTTCTGAAGCTGTCCCATGCTTTGTGACCTATCTTCAGGGACCTTGTTCCAAACCATAGAAAGTTATATTCATTATGCCCCCTTCCCTTCGAAAAAAAAAAAAAAAATCAAATTTGTTGAACATTACCTGGATAGTGATATTAGACCTCAGGACAGGTGATTCATTCATGCCATCCGTGACATGGAAGAGAAAAGAATCATGGACAGGCTCTTGATGGCGATGCTGAGATTGAATGTATGTTACTCTGCTTTCTTGCAAGTCTAACAGAGCAAACTCCAACATTGGTGATGTCTCTCCAGGGGTGCTCTTAGGCTCTGAAATTATGAGGAGATATGCCTTAAATACCTGGCTAATAAGTTAATTGATATCAGTTAAGCCATGAAAGCGTTGAAAATGGCCAGATAATGTTGATGATGATGGAATGCACCTACACAACAGATTAAACAAAAATTTTCAACTACAATTTTCTTCCTTCATATCAACTGTAATATTCTTATCCTCTTATAGGTCATACTATCTTCCATCCTTGGCAGAAATATATTTCTAATTGGAACTTCTTTACCAATAAAATATCCTTAAAAGACAAACAGCTCTGTAGCTCTTTAACGTTTTGGCTTCGGGTCACGTCACATGATGTGGATCTGTAGAGCTTTAGGTCAATTCATATGATGTTTTGATCTTTTGCTGGCCTATTTGAATAAAAAGGGCAGAAATGGCTGGATTATGTTGCCAAGTAGGTATTTATCTTTCACTCACTCACATATGAGAGCCTCTCAGTCTCTTCTCAGTAGCTTCTCAGCTTGAGTGATGTCGGCATCTTGCCATTGGACTTGACTCACTTCACCATGTATTTCTATCCCCCTATCCCCAAGCACATGTCTAGTACAGTATAGTGATCAAGTATTGGAGTAGTAATAATGATTATAACACAGTAGTGTAAATAATAATTACATAGTAAAACAAGTGTCCTGTACCTCAAACTGTCTACAAATTAGTGTTGTTTACTTCATTACTACGGAGTCACACACATGCCAATTCGTGAACATTCTCGACTCTCCCTAGCTTCTATGTCACAGAGCAGTTTCTCAGATATGGCTCTTTGACAAAAAATAAAAATATGAAGTGCTAATCCCTGATAATGGCATACCTCTGATATCAATGGCATGCACAAATATTTGAGACTCTGAGTCAGCTGACTGGCTGAACTGGATGGTTCACTTTCGGCATTGCCCAAAGATATTTTTTGTCCGTAAAATGTACACTTTGTATTTTATGATGTGCCATGTGTCATTTTTATTGTGTATTATAGCAGTTTTGGTTCAATTTTGGCATATGTAAAATAGAGACTAACAAAGGACTGGAGCCTATTGTCATTGAAATCTAACTCGGACAATAAAGTTTCCACGGATGAAGCTGATTTCATGAAGTTATCCACTTTACTGCCAGAGGTATAACTGTATTTGATTTAGAGGAATCCTTCCTTTTGTGGAATTGGCCTGCACGCTTTATTAAGTTAAATTCATCACTTTAGTTCAAGAGAGTACCGCTGTATCTTAAAGAATAATTTTTTTAGCTTTATGATTATAATACAAGTAACAAGGAAAAAGCACAATAAATCAACATTAGAAAAATAGCAAACCTTTCTACTTTTCATTATGGTTTACTTATTACAGTTATTTGTATTTTCCTACAAAAAGTTTACCACTTACCAGCATTAGTATTAGTAATATATCCAAATATTGGGGGGGCATCAACTACAATTACAAGACTGGATGAAGGAGTATCTACATCATGGACAGTGATGGAGGCTGGTGGAAGGACCACACTACTGCCCTCTGCAACAATGATGGGATCTTCTACCACCACTACAGGCTCTTTATTATCTACATTCTGGATCATCACCTTCAACACCTGCAACAAATTATGATCTTTATAATAATAACATTGAAAACTAACAATGATACAATAATAAACAGCGACTGTATTCTTCTTCTATTGGATATGAGATTCTATATCTATCCATATTCAACAACACTTTTAAATTCTCATTTAGAAACCACAGACTAACACCCACTACTAAACACTGAAAAATATGGCTTATAAAATTATCAAGTATATGTGACTTACATTTCAAAACAATTCTGAACTTATTTTTTAAAACTCTGAGACTACTGAAGCTTTGGTGTAAATTACCTGATTACTGAGGACATTATTTTGAGGATCGGTTACATTAAAAACCAATTTATCGGTCACAGCTTTCATCCCAATTTCTTTATCTGATGTGTAGTTGACTAAACCATAGAAAATATCTGCCTGAGTAAACTTATGGGTTTCATTAAGCTTTCTTGTTATTCCTGAAGGTTCAGTAGTAACCAGAGCACCATACTGGGGCTGACTGATGAGGGTATAAACCAAGTCCTCATCATTGGAATGGATGTCTGTGAAGTGAAGGTGCCAACTACTAACAACTTTTGATTCATCTAGAAAAAGAAGTAAAATACATTATAAAGAAAAAAGGTTAAATAACAATAATTTTTTAAAGTATGGAGTAAAGAAGGAAAAATATAGGTAAGGAGATCACAGGCAGCAAAGTGATTATGATTTTGGAAGGCAGTAACTGATGGGAATGATGAATCACTTTAATAATCATCAGTGGTCACTGATGCCTGCCAGTCTACATACCAGTATTGTACTGAAAATAAAAAAAATATTTATTGAAAAAGAAATGTGAAAACATAAGATATTAAAATCTGTCTATAACAAATAGAAAGCATAATGAGACTGATATGGTTACGTACATGAAGCTTTTTACATAAAGCAGTCAGTAACAAGGCAAAAGAAAAGTCTGGATAAAAATTAAATCATAATTATTCATTCTCTGACAACTATCATGTGCTAAAGATCACATACTGTATTCATGAATACTTACATTCATTTAATGTCATAGAAAATGTGGCATTGTCGCTTCTCATTGGTTGTTGCTGATCATCATGACGAATCGTAATTGCAATGCGAGAGCTTGCCTCTGAAGAGTGGCCCAGTGCAAGGAAAACAAATGAGTCGTATGTGGTGTCTGACCCATCATGGCTGTACAAGATCCGAGCGTTACCTATTTCTTTATAGTCCAAACTGTCCTCTGAAAACAAGTGTTGACTGTATAACTGAATATGATATAAATGGATATGGTGCCAAATGATGGCATCAATAACTTTAAAATGATATAGAGCAATATATAAATGTCCAAGGTCCTGGCATCCATTACATTTTCTTCCAAATATCAGTCTTAATGTAACTCATGGTACAAGCCACCTCACCCACCACAAACTCCAGTAAACTATTGTACAGTACTGTATTACCTTGTTTGGGCTCTTTCATTTTGTTCAACACATAAACACACTAAGCTGTTTTCATCCATCCAATCCACTTGCATTTTTAATCTAAAAATTTCCTCCTTCATTTTCAGAAGCAACCCTTCCTTTATTTCATTTCTTCCTCTCACATGTCCATTTCTCACAGCCAGCTTTTCTCACTCTACAGTCAAATCTCAAAAACTTTATCTCCACTGTTCGTTCAATTGAAAATTACTGAAAATATATTATGAAACTGTCTCGTTAAATGAGAACATTGATTTGACAAGATATAAAATATTACAGTACAGTACTTCAAAAGATACTTTACCCTGTACAGTACAGTATATAGATTTAAGTAAAAATTAATAGAGTACCCTGTTCTATAATATTGTGGATATTTAAAAAGTTCTAAAAAATGGAACAATGAAAAGAAAAAGTAACATGCAAATGGACAGTTATTTTGCCTTACCTTCAGTAAATATAGAGGATTCATCATCAATTTCTATGGTTAAGGTCCCATGGAGAGGTGCTTCCAACAGGATGAAGATAACCTCCTCTTTAGGTTCTAAGTTACTCAGCTCAAAGAACTCTCGCTCCAAGAGTACTGAGGCATGCTAGAGTAAAGAAGATAACATTCAGTCTTTAATATACTCTATTGTATCAGGGCCAGATTCAGGAGTGGGCAAAGTGGGCAGCTGCCCAGGGGCCTCCACAATCTGGGGGCCTCCACATATTACAATATTTTATTTATTTGTTTATTCATTTGGATTATTTTTATTTTCATTCTTTAAAATTCATGTTTATCTATTCCATCACGTAAAACTATGTTCAGTAAGAAGCGTGATAGAAATTAGGCTAGCTACTCCTTAAAATTCATGAATACGTACCTGGTTTTCCTATGAACCGTATATTTTTAATATTTTTAATATAACTGCATATGGCTTCAAAATTCTCCAAAGAAGTGTTCAAATTTCAAAATTTTTCCGGGGGGCCTACAGAACCCCCTCGAACTCCCAGATGTTTAGGCTCACTTCACTCGCCACCCCACCCTCTTGGGTAGTTATAATGAGGGGGGCCTCCACAGGTCTAAATCTGACACTGTACTGTATATCACCTAAAATTTCTTAATTGTATGACTCACACTTGATATATATATATATATATATATATATACATACATACATACATACATACATACATACATACATATATATATATATATATATATATATATATATATATATATATATATATATATATATATATATATATATATATATATATATATACTATATATATATATATATATATATATATATATATATATATATATATATATATATATATATATATATATATATATATATATATATATATATATATATATATATATATATATATATATATATATATATATATATATATATATATATATATATATATATATATATATATATATATATATATATATATATATATATATATATATATATATATATATATATCGTGTATATACAGCATACCTTACTAAAGGTGTTTATAAATTTAACTTTCAAGTTTATTTCAGTAATAATAAAGGTGGTGACTAAGTAAAAAAAGAGTTGTAACTGAAAGCTAAGTAAACACTCACACTACTGATGACCAGCTCGGGGTTCTCATGAGAGAAGGAGAGTTGCGTACCCTTCTGGGTGACCACATGAATGGTAAACTTCTGCTCGGGCAACTTGTTTGGCTCTCCTGTCATTTGGTCTGACACTAAAGGAGGATTAAAGTTTTTTACTTAATAGTAATAGAATATACAGTAATGTAGTACTGTACTGTACTGTACATTAAAATAAATTATTAGCTAAAAATAATCTACATTTCAAATCCAAAGTTGTTATGCAATGATAAAATGACATGCTTTTTTCTTTCTACAGTATTTTTAAATATAATTTTCACCGCTTATTAGCCAACTAGCCATTGGTATGGTCGGTCTATCCAGTGTTAGTACTGTACTGTACAAGAGGAAACCAGAGTCTGGGAAACCTGTGATGTTTGGTAGGGTCTGGGCCAAACAGGACTCAAACCCTTGACACATTGATGAAAGATATGTCTCTTACTGTTGTACCACTAACACCAGTAAACCCATTTTTACATGAGGTTGCACACTTGTGAATCCATTAACAAAGTGGAAATAGGGGTTAGGGTCTGGGAACCAATGAACCATCCATTATTGGAATTTTATCTTCCTATGCCTGGCATTATACAGTACAGCCCTCAAATAACATTAACTGTTCACCAATATGCAAAACTAAAATATAAAAGCTTTACAGATCCATAAATTAACAATTTAATAATATCTTTCAGAGACAAAGTCAAGTAACTAAGTAAACGATGCAGATGCTGAGAATGAAAGGAGGCTGGAGTCACTACCAAGATCAGAGTAGCTACCAAGGACTATTTCCGGCCACATTAGAGTATTGCAATGATTTTCCACAACATTTATACTGTACTTTCATTACGTGTAACAAATGCAACATGCCACCTCATCCCATTTTTTCACCCGCCATAGTGAATCGAACATTGCTAAACCGAATTTGGACCTAATGTTAAAAAAAAGTAAATTTTTTTATTTAGTTAACTGAATTATCATTAAGTGAATTAATGCTAAATGAGGGATACCTCTATAATATTATCTAAAGACTAAGCTGTGTCTAATAAACTAATAACATTACCTGTGAATTTAAAACTGAAATATTTATCCTCTTGTCCCATGTCTGCCAAAGGAGGCATATATATAATTTTCATATCGTTAATGTCTGCTTGCATGAACTGACGGAGTTCCAATCCAGGTGAGTCAATATGGAAAAGTGAGCCATCAGAAGGCCCTAATGGGTGAGTAATGGTATACACTAGATGCTCTGCTGACTCTACTCCTGAGAATGACAGATGGCCAGGGGTGATTGTTACTGCTTGACCTTCCTGCACCTGAAAAAGACAGACTTTATCATACACTGACACTGCATCCAGTAAATATCAGACATTGTCAGGGAGATGTGGTGGAAGGGAAACTAGGTGAGAATATATGGAACAAGTGATTCAGAAGAACTGTCTGGGATTGAGAGACTGAAAGTAGAGATTCGATGGAATTGGAAGATGAGGATCAGTGTAGAGAGTAAAATATATTGGCTGTAAAATGTGAAGAAAATAATCGAAGCTTAAAGCATGAAATCCTATTTTACGACTGAGGGGGAGGAAATGAATGACTTGTAATACACACTCTTTGTGCCCTGAGGAGAGAGGATATAGTTTAACGGTAGATAACACTAACCAGGCAGTCATGGGTGGCTAGTGATACATTTGCTACAAGCAGCACTTCTTTTCTATTTTGTTTTCAATCAATGGACTCCATGCACCGGGTCAAAGCTCGGTGGAGACTCTTGGTCAAAATGAGTGACTCTGGTCAAATTTCCAATAAAAAACTAAATGACGAAGAGAATTTAACTTTGTCTACCAACCAAGTGTCATAAAAAAATTATCTGGGTAAAATGAGTTAATTAACATTTGCTTTGTAATCATAGGGTAAACATGCATGGTAACTAAAGACCTCTCACCTCAATACTTTTAACTTAGTTTATTGTATGGTATTAAATACTGTGTGGCATTATCCCCCCCAAAACTAAGAATACATAACAATGTGCATTATTAACATTTACGGTATCCTTCAATACCAGCCCCAGTAGAAGATGGGAGGGAAATGTGTGTTCTGTATGGAATATGGCACACCTGTGATGGTTGAGCTATGAGCTCCACTTTATAACTAAGGAAAGGTTTGAAGTACTTGAGTTTATAAATCACAGGTGAAATAGTTGACTCAGTGGAGCTAATGCATTGCTGGATTTTGAGTTAACCAGTGGTGCAGGTGGGATACAAATGACCATGAATCAACTGGCAGAGAAAGGCTATTACCAAAGCTCATAAAATCAAGATACCACATGAAACTCAAAATTTAGGTGTTACTAAAAAGTTGATATACCAGTACTGTACAACTGCTCAGATAGGCCTAAGGTGTCAATATCAAAATTTCCAACTTACGGTTATACCAAACTGGATGCCTGGAGCTGGGAACATCTCCATCTTCTCGGGTGAAGGTTCCACCTGGATAATGAAGGACTGGTCAGCCAGCATGTTTGGTGGGTGTGAGCTGTCGGTCACAGAGAAGAGCAACTGGTCTGACGTCATGTCCCCACCTTGCTCTCCTGAGTGAACATACCACACACGGCCTTCATTCACATCACGCTGGGTGAAGCTGTGATGATTGGAAATATGGTTTTATTATGTAGTCAAAGTAAGTTTTATAGTTTTCTTTGTCACTTTAGCATAAACTAAGCTATGTCACTCTTTTCCAAATAATTTTTTTAGGATTTAAAAATACAAATACTGTACCATAATCCCCCATATATGACCATCTCCATAGTTAATAACTTATAAATGTTTGAAAAGTTAATTTGAACCCTTACTCTTTGTACATGTAAAGGTTTTGAAGGTGTTCATGAAATTTATGTTGGGGCACAGTGAACAAAATTAGTTCTCTGTCAGCAATCCTTGATGTGGCTGTCCACTACATGGGAGACAAAAGCAGCATTATTTGTTGTGTCTTTTTTGCAATGCTAGGACTTTGTACCTATAATCTGTGTACTATGTATCATAACTTCCATGCTGAGTTTGTGCCTTCTGTGAGTGTGTTATAATGGCTGCCCTATGTAGCCTTCTGGTGGTGATGTAGCCAGCAAGAAAATGGGAAAATATTAATTTACAAACAAAGAAATCCAGCCATCCAGCATGTCCAGCTGGTCCACACCACACCACACCACACCACACCACACCACACCCCACCACACCACACCACACCCCACCCCAACCATCACAACTGCAGTACAGTATCTCCATTTTATTATTGTTACAGGTGTGTGAATTATATTATTCAAATTTGGATATAAATGTTTAACTTACATTTGAAATGCAAATACCATACCAATATTTTGTTGAAAAACATTTACTGTACTGTGGATGGAATTATACATGTTATTAAGTACTTGAACCTAACCTTTTACTGCCCATTAGAGCTTTGCCAGTGTACGATTTCACTCTCTTATGACCCTCATTTTTACTGAACCTCAAACATTTGCAGGGAAACACAGTGCAGGTTATTGAACTTGTAGAATTTACTGCCAAGAGAGTTCTTGATGACAATAAAAGCATTGTATATAAACTTTAAATATTGAGGCCAATAATCATTCAAGGAATTTCATCGTCAATCCTCATAGGCATACCTTGTAGTGGGTCTGACAAGATGGGTCTCGTCCATCTGGGTCCAGCCATCATTGTAAAACCCGTCTGGGGCAGGTGGCAGTGGAATGATTAAGGTCAACTGCCCTGTTAGTAGATATACAAATATCAAAGTTAAAATAGCTCTTCTGTATCATCCAAAACACACATTCTATACAGCAGACATCTTTAAAAACTAAAGTCACATATCCCACCACAAGTTATATCCCTAAAAACTATTATGTTTTGCATCAAATAACATATTTTTCCTCATTCTATATACCAAATACACTGATCTACAGGTCAAATTTTGAAGCTTCTTATATTCACCCAAAACCAGGGCTCAATTTATGTCCCCAGTAAAAAAACTTAATTTTTAATTCCTGAGCAAAAAGAGGTCCCACATTATAGGTGGTCATCATTTTGAATCAGCTGTATTAATTTCTATTTTTTACAGTTTACATTTCATAAATTTACATACAGATACAATATTTACAGCCATATTAGACACATAAACCAAAATTGCATAAAACAATAACAACTTATATGAAAACACTATTGGTAATCCAAGCATTCAGTTTTGTCTTTAACTTTATCCTTTTCTCCACTGATCAGCCCCTTAGCCAACTTAGACATGTATGTATAGGTGCACCGAAGATTACAAAATGTAAACATTTAAGTTCCATCCAGCATAATTTACAGAGAAAAACATACTGAGTAGTACTGTAATGCATTTTATATATTACTAGTTTCAATATAACCTCACCATATATAAAGATATTAACAAATTTACTTAAGTCTACAGTACTATATTCAAACAGGGTAATCGCCACTGCACAAACACTTACAGGCCGGTGAATTTGACCATCATAGTATGTTAATTATTGTACTAGAAAATATCATTTGCAATGCCATGCTGGAACATCTACTGTATGGGTACTACAAAACAGCCTTCTATATAGGAGTGCCAGCACAGTTTTATGTCCAGATGCTCTTGCTTGACACAATTACTTTTAGTGGTGGATATGTAGACACAGATCCTAGAACTTGGTGGCACTATTAACAATACTGTACAGTATATAACTGAACTTTGCCAAGGCATTTGATTGTACAGAATACATCATGAAAGGCTGAAAATTAAACTGGATGGGTATGGAATTCAGGGGTTATGTCCTAGCATAAATGAAAGAATTTCTTCATGATCACAAGCAATATGTGTGCTGATTAGTGGCATGAAATTGTTATGTGTACTTTTAACAAGTGGGGTACCACAGGGGCAGTATGGTGGGGTCATTGTTGTTTATTTGTTTGTTTCATAAATGATATACCAGATACTATACAGTCCTCCATACAAATGTTTGCAAAATATGCTAAGATACTCAGAGGAATTAAAAACCAAATAGACTGTAAAGAATTATAGAAAAATCTTTGTTGGCTTCAAGAATGGTTAAAAGAATGGCTGTTAAGATTCAATGTACTTACAGAGACTGGAGTATTTTTTAACTCAGTTGAAGAGAAAAAAAGGGCAGATAAATTAATGTTGACTTTAAGTGTCAGTTTAAGAGGCTGTCTGTCGGCAAAACCTGAGTGAGGCGAGGTGATGGGTGAGGAGAGGGTGGGGGTGAGGCGAGGGTGGGGGTGAGGCGAGGTGATGGGCCCTCTAGTTCTTCCATCCATCCAGACGCTTTTGTAATATGTCTGTTGTGCTAACCCACATAATAAACATATAAAGTAACTAAAATACCTGATATGCATTTAATTTGTAACATGGGGTAAAAGAACATGTATCGTGAAGTGGTTGTTTGAGCATGGTCAAGGTCACAAGTAAATAGCTATTTAGATTTGGAGTTCATAAACTATGGGGATGCCACTTTTAATACAGTACTGTACTTTATTTGGCTAATGCCACACAATTTTATTCAGCACAGAGGGGATCCCGTACACAAGTGGTTAATGTGCGAGTATTGGCCAAAACATGAATCTTGAGTTGAAAAATTGAAGGTCAACTAATTCACCAGATGGAATTGTACACAATATATACAGTAACAAAGTACAGGTAAGCATTTAATTGTTATGAATGCAATTGTTATTTCAATATTTTTTTCATTTCTATGTAAAGTAAAACATCTTTAAAAAAATATAATTAAATAAAAAAAAATGGTAGAGAAAACACCCACCTTGACCGGGGTTTTGGAGCATAGGGAGGAGGGTGTAGACCAAGTTCTCATCATCTGAATCTATGTCTTTGGCTTGTAGAAGTTGAGGGGATATCTGGACTTTGTGACCTGACTGAACCTGAGCTCCTTGATTCTTGATTAAAACTGGGACACTGTTTTCTTCCTTTATAATGTACACTTGAAAGAGATAGTTGATCACATTGTGTTCATCACTTGCCTGCAACAGGATCACATCTGATTTAGAGGTAGAGTTGTCGTGGCTGTACAGCACTTGTCCCTGCACCAACTCCTCTATGGTAAACAACACAAGTTCTTCTCCACCTACAGACAACTCACCATGGCTTGGACCATCCACTACCCTAATAGTGACACTTTCTGGGTTGTCATAATCATGGATGCTCAATATTTTTGTGTCTATGGATTCACTGTGTCCTTGGTAAATGAGCAGGGGCTCATTATTAACAATTTCAGGTGGATATTTTGAAATAACATTTATAGAAACAACTTCAGTCACAGACCGATACTGGCCATCTGAAACACTGAGACGCATTTCTCCATATAGTGGTTTATCTGCCTCGTGTCTAAAAAATATTTGGTTTTCTTGCATTTCTTCAACTTTGAATATATTTCCATTCTTTAACTGAACATTTCTACCTTTGACAAATCTGTATATTTCTCCATTTGAAGGAGTTTCTTCTACAGTCACCACCAGCTGATCACTTGGAGTATCAGCATCCTTAATGTATAAAAAAGAACTATTAACTGATAATGGCTTGCCATACTCCACAACTAGCGGTGCCAGGATATGGATTGTAGGTTTATCAATATTATAGAAACAAACTCCAGTCACAACATCTGGGAAGTAATTCTTGCCACACTGGTCAACACACTGCCCATCTTGAAGAAGGTGTGGAGATTTGCAGGTGTGGCACTCATAGAGGGAGCACTCGAGGCATTTGTTGCCACAGTCTGAAAATTAAAAGTACAGTACTCTGTATAGGCACTTTTAGAACCATTGGCATTGTTTTGGCAATAATTACCCCCCCCTATACCCTTCCAAACCTTTTATCACTAATCCTTCGCCCTTGTCCCCTAATCTTCATTTATATACCCACTGCATCTATGAATTCTTATTACTGTATGTTAATGGTTGGTTGGAATTTTGACTGTACAGAATAATGCCTTCAGTTCATGATAATATAAGTCCTTGTGTTGTGCAGTACATATTTCTTCCTGTTTGGGCAGAGAAAGATGCTATAACAGTGTTGATGCACATACACTGCAGTATCATTTTCAACACTACAGTACACATACACCTCATACTATGCTTCTCATCTACTAGTCATTATTTCCAAACTATTTCTTTATATTGCCTATAGTCCTGTCAGAACACCTAGCTGCCAGTATTAAATTCCTCTATGCCTTATCAACATATTCATTTAGAAGGAAATTTCTACTACAGTACTTGCTCTGAATTGACCTTACATTACAGGATTACAGGCTTAAGTATATAAATTACTCCAGTATTTTTTAGCAGCTCTTTCCTTAACTTTTTTTTCAATTTAGAAATATCTAAATCATTTGTTATTCTTATTTACAGTCTCTGAATAACTATTGATATTATTGACATTTCACAAGATAATATAAAAATATATACTGCAGTGATTACAGTATCTATATATCAGTGGTTATGTTTCTTCCAAGAACTCCCTTTTCTTGGGAGTGGTTGTAACTGCAGAACTTTCTCCAATTATTTCTGTCACCTTCAAGGAATACTTGCAACCTACATTGAAAAATTCTACAAGAATGTTTGCAAGTTTGGAGATTGTTTGTGTTAGAAGTATGGTAATAAGCTATTATCCTTTATGAGACTACTGTTCACTCAAGGGGAGTTCACGGAGGAAAAGAGGCAAAAAACACTAAAGAGAGATGTACAGTAACTGTAATGTTCGGCAGTGAATTAAACAACACACGTGGCAATAATGACACACACTGTTTCACTGAATATATAAATGTTTCTTATACCCGTAGGACATAAAACTACATTCCTTACTTAGGGAAGTCCAAATAAAAAATCAAGTTTTTGTTCAATCCAGAATGCGACGTCTAGCTTATACCTAGGTATGTTAATGTCTAGCAATAACTCGCCAGACCAACATACAGGCAATTAAAACATCAAATAATTACTTAATACGTAATATTAGGAGGACACGTCGCTACCTGGCATTTAATTGCAATTCTCAAAACCCCCCTTCCGCACCCTCCATCACACGCATTGCTACCGTCATCTTCTTGCCTGGCGAATCAGCTGTAAATACGCACAAAGAAGGCTCCGCTAATTTGTGTTGTAATAGCGCTAACACATAACTAGATACACTTAACCAGAGTTTATGTATGGATTCAATCACACAGAATATTACATTATCAAAATGCTGCACATGATATAATAATAATTTTTACCCACCATAACAGATGTTGTCAAACACATTTGCAAAGGTTCCTGGCTGGCATGAAGTGACACAGTGTCCATCCTGTAGAAGATATGGGGCCTGGCAGGCCTGGCAAGCTGTACTACTGTTGCATTTGCTGCATCCTCCTGAACATGCTCTACACTCCTTGCCAATGGGGTAGTGGCCTGTGGAAAAAGCACAGTTTGTAAAATTGCAATACATTTTCACTTATCCTGCTTGAAGCATTTAATATATTTTAACCAAGGTTCATCATCCAGGTTTCTTAACAATACTACTTACATATACAGTATCTCATCTCCATATACGTATATAATTGTTTGTCACTTTATGTTGATTTGGTTTTCTCTTTAGGATAGCATTAGTCTTCTTACACCAAATTATAATGTACAATACATCCTAATATGTTGTAGGAGGCTTCAGCAAGTGATGCAACATTATGAGCATAAGAGATAATAAATTTCTTATCAAAAGTATGTAAATTATAATATGGGTGCTAACCTTTCATGTAAAATTGTATAGCAAACTAGTTGTAGTGTATACATATACGTATTTGTATAGTACATGCATATATTTGTTCTGGAAAGCTTAATAAATCTCTTTCTTTGTCGTTATCCTATCATTATACTTGCCTGGTGAACACTGTGCAAGGCATCTGTTGCCCTCATGGAACATACTGGATCCGCAGGTTAGGCAATCTGCTTCAGAGGGTCCTAGGCACTTCTCACATGTCCAGTGACATTCCCGGCATTCTCCATTAGCAGAAGCATCAGTATAAAACATGTTGGGACACTTGTTGACACATTTTCCATACAAAAGATGTTTAGTTGGTGGACACGTTAAGCATGTAGAGCCATCAGAGGAACAAATTTCACAACCACCATCACAACTTTGGCAAGAATTTTCTGGTGTTAGGTAGGATCCACTGGGGCAAGAACCTTCCTCACATATACCCTATGGAAACATTTGTAATGATTAGCATTTCAGAACTTGGCTCCATTCAGAATTTCTGAAGTGCTAGAGATGAGCTTATATAGCAAACTGATGAGTTATATTCATAATGTGCTACAACTAGTCTGTACTGATCTTGATCTGTGTTTGATCTAAACAAAAGATCTTGAGAGGATTAATGAACTCTTACCTCATCAGTCAGCTTGGTTCCCTTGGGACAAGTTTTGCAGTTATTAAGTTGAGTTCCCATGCAAGTCTCACAACTTGGATGGCATTTTTGACACCTGTTTGACTCTTGGTCATGGAAGTATCCATGACTGCATTCATGAACACAATGCTCACCTTCACTTATTTTGCGACTTGATTTGCAATGCACACAGAAGGAGGTAGATGTATTGGTTATGTCTAAGGTGCAAACTTTGCACGATGAGTGGCAGGCTGGTGGTGGTGGAACATTTTATATCAAATACAATATCAGGAAAGAAATTCTAGATGTGTGTTCATGATAAAATCAATATCAAAAAATATGCAAATACAGTAGAAATACAGTATGGTTATTTGGGAATTGAGAGATGCCAGATATATTTATTCTGGGAAGTTGAACCTCACTCTTAAGATACCCCAATAAATCCATCCTACAATGCACAGTGATTCTAGCTGATTTTTGAGGAATTATTATCATCATTATTATTATTATTATTATTATTATTATTATTATTATTATTATTATTATTATTATTATTAAAATTTTTTTTTTAAGGTTCCGGTTACCTGGACTTTGAATAACCGGAGTTTTATTGTACTGTATTGACAGAAACAAGTCTTGTGTACATTACAGTATAAAAAGTGACTACAACTTTCAATGTCTGTCTACATTGTTTACTAGCAATGCAGTCAGTGTTAAAATTGTTTAATTACTTTTCTTTATCAAATATGCACAATATGAATAATATTTTAGCTTTCATTTCAACTTCTGGTGATGTAATAAAAAAGCCATTCCTTACTTTGGCAAGTGCTATCTGATGCTAGATAATGACGGTGGTAACATTTTGTAAGGCATTTGGCACCTGCTGCTCGTTGGTGTAGTGTGGCACCCTTATGACAGCTCTGGCAACTCCTGTGACCTGGACCAGAGCATGTATGGCACCTTGGGTCACATGCTGCAAAGAAATGAACATTTACACAAAATTTTTAATGAAGAGATTTTGGAGTAAAGTCTTATCAGCACAAATCTTTATAGCTGCAATTTCCTATGCCTGTATAATATAGTGAGCTCAGTGTATGAAATAAATAAAAATGATCTCACTGCTCCTGCTGTCAGTGTCGTCCAATAAGTTATATGAGGAGTGACTTCATGACTGAGAATGTTTATCTTAAAAATTTATAACATTATCCATGCTGCACATTTCCCCACCTTTCTTTTTTTTTATGTGGACATAATGAAGTGAAAGATTGATAAAATTAATATTTTAAGTCAAAAGTGGATGTTACGATGGAAGAAAGGATTCACTAAGGAGCAGTGTGTGTGTGTGTGTGTGTGTGTGTGTGTGTGTGTGTGTGTGTGTGTGTGTGTGTGTGTGCGTGCGTGCGTGCGTGCGTGTGCGTGTGTGTGTGTGCTCATTTTCAGCCACTTTAGTACATCAACCTCCCCTAAAATAAAAGGGGGGATTAAATGTGCTAAAGTCTCTTCCCTTAATTACTTACATAAGCAAACATTCTTTTCAGTGTGTTGATAGAAGCCTGTACCACACTGCTGTACACAATGGGTGCCCTGTAAGAGCCAACCCTCTTTACACTTCTGACATGCTGTGGGCTCTAATACATGCCATACTTCACATCCAGGTGGTGGAGCTGATGAAAAGATACACATTACCGAGATTGAGGTACAGTATAATATTAGCACAAAGAGAGAATAACTAATTCTCTAATGTTAACTTCTTTATCTCCTTCACTGACTGCATCATATCTTTAATTGTGGTTTCAAAACACTTGCACTAAACAGTAAAAAAAAAAAAACTTTGGAATAAAACAGACTGTGGTTATTAAAAAATAAATATTACTTAAACTGTATAAAGTGATAACAAGATTATGGTCTTAATTACTAAACTATTGTACATGAATATTTTCAATTGATATTAAAATAAGGTTTTACGACATAGTTGTTCCAATTTCACATTTTACTGAAGACTTATGCAATAACTTCAGTAAATTTGATTTTCCTTTGGTGTTCTTGAAAAGACCTTTGAGTATTTCACATCTTTCACTGCTAAGGGCATATAATATGCACTAGTACACAGTAACTCCATATTCAATTACTACACCTGTTGACAGAAGGCACTTTGTGTAGACTTACCAATACAGATGTGGTCCAGCTGCTTATAGTCTGGTGGGCAGCTGTCTTGACAACTGCCAGAGGTTACATTGTTCAGCACTACCACCTGCCCTGCTTCTGAACACACTACACACCTACAAAGGGAGAGTCAAGTGACCGACAGAAAGGCCACAAATGTCCATGAATTTACTAGCATTTACAGTCATTAATATGTTTGAATATGGTATGAATACAGTACTGTACTGTTAACATTATGAGAGTTTCATCAGCATAATAAATTCCCAAGCACAGTACAGTACATGTTGCAGGTAGAAGGTAGTAGGCAGCTACCAAACAGGGAGGTACTACTGCCTGGGAAGATATTGGAAACATAATGTATTGTCTAATGGTAGACCCTGCTGCCATATGGCATCACGAAAGTTGTGACCAAGTCCCAGGTAGCTGTTCTGACTTTCTGCCTCATTTGCACACAATTGCAGGGTCTCAATTGTTTCTCTTACCCTGATAACACAACATACATATTTTGTTTCTCACTTTTCATCTTTTTTTAATTTTTGTATTTCTTCATAGACCTAACAATAGCCTAAACATCATTTTTAGAGCTCATGAATACTGTACATTGATAAAACACAATCTTATTCTTTGTATACGCTGATGTCCTTTACCTATCTGGTCCAGGTCCAAGGCAGTCAACACAGGATTCATGACATGGGAGACACTCCTTATCATCGATGTAAGTTCCTCCTGGGCACACTCTCACACATGTTGACCCACTACGGAAGAGGTAGTGTGGGCACGAAAGACAGGAAGCTATTCCAGCACTATGACATGTCCCACAAGAAGTATGACAACCTAGAATACAAGGAAACATTAACTACTGTAGTTAAAAAATGGCACCATCCACTAAATAATTATTAATATTAAAGCACTATGTATACTGAAGATAATACATACAGTAGTACAAAATAGTCCTACACATCTTTTATCTTATAATATGAGAAATGTTTTAGGGGCTTTCAGTAATATCAACAGTGATACTTACTAATACATGCACTATCAGGACCCTGGTAATATCCTGGCAAGCAGTCCTTTTTGCAGTGTCCTTCTTGCAGCCAAAAACCTTGGAGGCACTGCAAGCATTCCCCAACTCCGCAGTGCTCGCAACTTTCCTCACATGATTCACATACTTGTTCTCTAAAGTACATACATACCAGACTATAAGTCACAGAATTTGGAATACATACATAAAACAGAAAGTACAGGTACTGTGCATACATAATCATATGCTTAAAGAATATACCGGTAGTGACTTAGTTGTAAACATACCAACAATTGTCAGACACAATAAATACAGGCAAGACACCTACCTAGCATAATGACCTGAGGGGCAGTTGTCAACACAGGTACCAGCATGAAGGAAGGCCTTACTGGGGCACACCTGACACTGGTTATCTGCTGGTCCAGAACACTCACTGCAGGAGGCATGGCAGGGGAGGCAGGCTCCACCCTCAGAATAAAACCCAAGGCCACAGTCACTTACACACTCACCCTCACGCAGTAACTCCCCAGAAGAACACCTATAAGAGAGCCATGTTCACTATACACTCACGTTTTATGAAAATACATGAATTAAAATATTTTGGGTAATATGATAAGATAAAAAACTGGATAATGATCTTCATAAAATGCAAATGAATTCTTGATGTTAATACTGTATGCAGTGCAACATTCATCATGCAGATAATGAAATTAATTTCAAATTTATATTACTGCAGACTGCCAACAATTGTAGGCCATTGCTGTCAAAGAACATTAATAAATCATGGTGATTTTAGCTGACTTTGTGATAAACACGAGACCAGGTCAACAAAACAGGACAAAAATGTTAATGGTGAGTTGGGCACACATATGAAACTTAGGGGAATGAACAAGAGCCAGGTATAATAAAATAAATTTCAAATAAACATACCCACATTTACTCATTCTGTTGACAAATTTGATATTTTAGACTGCAACTCAACTGTTAATAACTGAAGTAAGATACAGTTATACCTGGCATTACATTCTAAGACAGATACAGGAAACAATAACAGTTAAAGCATAAGAGGGAAGTCAAAGGGAATACTGGAACTGAATGTTATAATTACAGTAATAGTATAAGTAATACAGTATTGGTGTTTAATAACTATTAATCATTAAAGACCTGAGAGCAATGGTGATTAGTAATTTTTGTGGTTATCCTGAATACCTTTATGCCAAATTAAAATGATACTGTGTATGTATAATACATTATAGTGCATGCATGTAAAAGGTGATAAAGTACTTTAATTTACATTAAGTTCTTTTAGGGAAATACTGTACAGTAGTACAGTACTGTATATCTAAAAACAATTAACAGAAAGAAAATATGACTGATTACTCTGTGCAGTGGAATCTGGTGGCTTGTGTGCAGGTCTTGCAGGATGGGTGACAAGCTTCACACTCCCTCCCTTGTTGAAATCTTTTGTCACTGCAGGTCTCGACACAATTACCATCCTGGAGATAATGTCCTTCCTCACACACTTTACATGTTATCTGAGTTTCACCAGGAGAACACATGAGACAGTTTGGAGGACATGCTAAAGGCTGACACTCTTGGCAGCACTGCTCTGTGTTTTGACTGCTGGCCACCAGGCCAAAGGGGCATGGAGGGCAAGAAGGCACATAACATGTAACAGTCCCTGAAGTACATGAACAAATATGACAATTCCCAGAACTCCATACTTCTCCATTCTGTGGGAAGAAAAGATGGGGAATAATATTAAGTGAGAGTGTAAACTACAGTATGGAGATAATTTTATATAATTCTCCATCTTGATTCATTGTGAATAAGCTGAGGGCTTACATAGCAGAACACTCCATTGATATGAGTTTCTTCATGATTTTACAAAACATTGGAGGTGAATCAGAAACCAGTATTTACGGTCATTCTTTAAAGGACACAAAAATATGAAATAAGACAAAATGTTTCAAGAAGTCATGACTGACCTCGCGGAGTGTACCATCGTGGAAACAGACTTTGTGGTTGATGGAGCACTCAGAACAGCAGGCTCCAGGTTGAGTCACCAATGCCTCCCCTGGACCACACTCATCATGCCCACATTGTACCTGAAAAATAAAGTTTTATTAAGTGACACACAGTTCAGGGTATGGAGACAGTCAATTAATAAAGGTCAGAGAAAGTGATGCATGACTTGTAGTATTATTGGAAAAAAACATGAACATCACTGGAAATGGTCTATGAAGAACCTGAGAGGATCAGAGGAGGAAAATGCAACAGAAAAGTCCCTGATTCACTTATGTTTACTGCAGTATATCATTTATTTGTTTAATATTGGATGTTTTTACCCACCTGATTACAAATGACCTCAGCTTCCCTGCATACACAGATCTCACATTCACTTGTGTTCCAGAGGTGACCTGGTGGCATACGGGCACCACTCTCCAACAGGCACCAGCCTAGGTACAGCATAAAATTAAATTACTTTTGCAGTCTTGGCTTACACAAATGCTACATTATAAATATGCTGTACATTACATATTAAAACCTTGTATATATTGTTCAACATTTATTAACCTTGAGTTTGATGAAACATGTATTTATATACTAATATTACCGTAGTACATCTGTAAATATGCTAAACAAAATACAGATCAAAGGAGAGTGCCTACCACCAAGTCAATATACCGTAAGTAAGATTGTTCTGATAACACAATATATATTTGTTAATTTTAACTAAAGTAAATAAATAACAGGCTCATAAATACTGCTTCTATTTACCTTGCTTTTTAACACATCTAGGACAACAAGCACCATCTTCAGTGTGTGATTCCTCATGAGGCTGACACTCTAACCTTGGGCATTCCATGTCATGACAGTGTATCCGACCTGCTACACACACACACTTCTTACAAGGACCTTCCTGCCACTGATCTGAGGACTAGATAACAAAAAATATCACACTATAATCTGAAATATAACAATAACCTAAATATTTTGTAAAATAAGGGGTGGTAAAATGCAACAAAGACCCATATAATAATTACAAGGCTAAAGTACTCACCCCAAAGACCATTCCATTGGCAACACATGGTGTTCCCTCACAGGTAGGGCAGCAGGAACCCTCAGCAACCTCCAGGGTGTGGTTGGCAGGACAGGTGAGGCGAGGACAGTGTGCTACATGACACTGTGTTTGACCATCACGGCACTGGCACTGTGAACACTTCACTGGTGACCAGAATTCTCCATCAGGGTGTACTGTCTCTTCCACCTTGCATGATCCTGATGAAGAAACAAGGGACTAATTAAAAAAATTCTACAAGGTTGAAAACCCAGTTTATCAAGACTCATGATTGCATTATAAAAATTGAATAACCGTGTGGCTAGTGAGTTGACCAGAGGTGAAAAGAACAAGTTCAAATTCATAAAATGGAAAAATCCTGTATTTATCCCTATGTAGGTGCATTACCTGGGAAAACAGGCCTGCAGGAGGCCTATAGTGTGGGCAGTGTGGTGTAAAGCATGGCAAAGACTTTCTTGGAAAACAAGGTTAATATTCTAAGTGTCCTCACAAAACAATTACAGTAATTCCAAATTTGATATTTGCCCCCCACCCCCCCCACCCCCACCCCCACCACCACCACCACCACCACCACGTCCTACCCAAAGAAAGATATGTACAAGAAGGAACACAATAAGCCACCTTGACAAAATATTGTGTAGAACCCAGAAGTTCCCAAAGTGAGATGCAATAATTCCTTTCAAGTTATGCACTGGAAAGTTTATCTAATTTTCAATGTTTATATTTCTTAGAATGTTGGTAATGAACAGCAGTAATGTGCATATCTTTCATCCCTATGTCCTGGCTTGAGACACATGTGGGAAAGGTGTTATCTAGTGTGACCCTACCAAACATTGCAGGATGCCTCTGGGTACTCAAGTTACCTTCTGTACTAACAGTGGATAATAAAGGCCATAACAGTAGAATGGGATAATGGCAGTAGTTTAATGTGAACTAGAACAAAGACTGTGGGAAAGTGGAGGTAAGAATGAAGTGTTGATTGATTAAGAGTGAGAACTGGAGAAAGAACATACATAAAGTTACTAATAATTACACTTTGACAATATCAAATGTTTATAATGAGAGGAGTACTCACGTCCAAGTGGCACACACTCCGGACAACACTGGTTAGACAACTGCACTGCCACCTGGCCCTCTCTACACGAGGTGACACCACAAGGCTTTCGCCCGCATGATACAGTGCCGTTCACACAGCGGCACTGTTCACACCCCCCAGGTGACCACACTTTTCCATCCTGTTGGAAGGAGAAACACCTTTATTATGATAGTTACTGCATGAAAGCAAGGGTGAAGGATATTATACATGAGAAGACAGTACTTCTGAAGTGAATGGAAAACTTTTTAGAAAACTAATTTAAAAGAAAAAAATTATATTACAGTACTAACTTATTGTTCAATTATTACTGTATGAATAGTAGTATAGTAGTGAAGGAAACACGACTACCACGGTCCGACTAATTACCCAAATGTACCCAAATGTAGCCAAATATAGCCGGAATGAAGTCAAATAATGGTCCTAGATGAATAAATCGGACTGCCAATCACTTCTCGACTAGTATTTGGTGTCACAGTCACAAAAAATTGGAAAACTTACTTTTAATCTGAGTTAATAGATCGCGTGCATGTACCGAGGGAGCGAGGAATTACCCAAATGTAGCCGCAATGAAGTCAAATGATGGTCGTACAAGCGTAATTCGGGCTGTGAATCACTTCTCGATTATTATTTGGTGTTATAAAGTAAAAAAAAATTGGTAAACTTAATTTAATCTGAGTTGTGTTAGGTTAGGTTAGGTTAGGTTAGGTTAGATTAGAATAGATTAGGTTAGGTTAGGTACATGCACTTGATCTATTAACTTAGATTAAATTAAGTTTACCAATTTTTTTTGACTTCGTGACACCAAATACTAGTCGAGGTTAGGTTAGGTTAGGTTAGGTTAGGTACATGCACTCGATCTATTAACTCAGATTAAATTAAGTTTACCAATTTTTTGTGACTTTCTGACACCAAATACTAGTCGAGAAGTGATTGGCAGTCCGATTTATTCATCTAGGACCATTATTTGACTTCATTCCGGCTATATTTGGCTACATTTGGGTAATTAGTCGGACCCCGACTACCATTTGTCTACAATGAACAATGTTCAACTGTAAGAATAATATAATCCAATTATTATCCTACATACATTATAGTACTCATTACAGTACTTTATGTGCAGTATTTTCATATGCTCTTATTATTAAGATGAACCTTGTTATCTTATATACTTAATACAGACCATAAAATGTTAGCAAGTCCCTTGATTTCTTTTATTCACACAAGTGGTACACAGGGAGAGAACACTGCAAATAAATTTACATAGAGAAACTTTCTGGAGGAAACAGGTACCGGAAATTTTCCCTGAGTGAAGGAGTGTGAGTTCCTGTGAAATGTTCTGAACATACTGTAGATGCGCTAAAGTTGCTCACCAAGACATTTTTTACACTACTGTATTAGCAAACCCCTAGAATGACTCTGCAGACCTAATAATGAGGAGGGGTAAACAATTGTATTTGTCAATACTATAGTACTGCAATTTGTATCACTCTATGAATGCTTAATAAATCCACTTGTGTTGTTTTATTGTCTGTGAAGTTTAAAATATACAGTAATACTATTAATAACAAAAGGGAAGTGGAAAAAAAAATGCCTGTATTATAACAACCCCTACAAGACAAATAATTTCCATGCATTGAGCTGTACTGGATACTGTACAATACCTGTATTTATGTTATTTATGATTCATAACTGGCATAAAAATACAATACTTATCAAATAAGCCTGTAATAAATATACAGTAATGATATATATGTGTTCTGCTTTTTTTTTTATTTATGTACGTATAGAGGACTCCAGTAGTTTATGCCTCTGATGAATTTCAAAAATGGATCACAGTCACTCTTCTTTACATGAAAACAAGAGAAAAAGTGCAGGTACAGCATACACATCATACCTGGTACATGGTGTCTCCAGCAAGGCAAGGTCTGGGTGGAGGCATACAGCGAGGGCAGCAGTGTTGAGGATGATGGTATAGGATGAGGTGAGGAGGACAGCTGGGGTCATGGCACTCTTCCCGGCCACACACACCCACCCATCCCTGGCACTGGCACTCCACGCACACCTCGGGACGCCACCGACTGCCATTCTGTGGAGAGATGCAACTCTGAGAGATGGTAAGAGGTGGGAAGGAGAATGGAGGGCCGAGTGAGTATGGCAAAAAGGCAGAGGGGTGAAGAGCAGCGTGGTTCTGTATTACGTTATTTGCAAGTTGACAATCCTTTATCTTCCGAAAACCGAAAGTTTTTTCGTGGCGCATCACTCGTGTGATGCCGAACGTGACTTGGACCTGACGCTACCGGGCCCTTGACCTAGGCCGGGCGGCGTGTGCGAGTGAGGCTGTTGCTATTAGTCCCACATTTGTGTCTGCTGTTCTTATATTTCATGTAATTTTGTTTAATTTCACTGAAAATGCCAAAAAGAGCTTCAGATGTCCCTGTGGGTAACAGTGAGAAGAAAAGGAAGCGTCTCTCATTATCAATAGCACAGAAAGTGGAGTTGTTACAGAAGCTTGATGGTGGTGTACCTGTGTGGCGTCTTACTGAAGAATATGGTGTGGGAACTACCACCGTATATGACTTAAAGAAACAGAAAGACAAGTTGTTGAAGTTTTACACTGACAAGATGACCCAAAAATAATGAAAAACAGAAAAACATTGCATAGGGCAAAAAATGAAGATCTTGACGGTGTGCCGATTGAGTGGATTCGGCAACGAAGAAGTGAACATGTTCCACTGACTGGTTTGTTGGCCATGAACCAAGCTAGAGTATACCATGAAGAACCGAACACTGATGGTGAGTGTGGGTATTCAGAAGGTTGGCTGCAGAAATTTAAGAAGCGTCATGGTATAAAATATCTGAAAATCTGTGGTGAAAAAGCTTCTGGTGATCATGAAGCAGCTGAAACCTTAGCCCTGAACAAATTTACAAAGATAAGCATGAGGATAGTAGTGAGGTAAGGTATTATCTCACTGTAATTCAAAAGCGAACCTCGGAAGAATGAACATTAGTGGTTAATTTTCAGAGTAATACATTTGGGTGTCTAATATTCAGGTGAAATAAACCAGTGTACTTAATCTTAACTTAATCCATATATCCTTTCAGTATACACCAAGATAAGGAGTACGTATTACTATATTAGTGATGAGTGAACAAAAAGTTACCTAAGATAGAAACATCCACAGCGGAGACCTGATTTAGTTAACACAGACGCCAACAAAACCAGGAGTTCACGTCGTTGACCTCTTAACCACACGTTATATTGTTCTGGAAATTAGTGGTTATGAAAGAGTAGGTATAAAATGATGGCTCCTTCCACCTCCTCTCTCATAACCATCCCCTTGTGAAGATGGGCCAACACACACACACACACACACACACACACACACACACACACTAGAACCAATATGTTTTTGTCTTAGAGAGAGAGAGAGGTCCCAAGTCGTTAATTTGTACACGTCATTATTTGTCTGCTTAAGGTAATGAACGAGCGGCCGACACCAGGGGGAGAGGAGGAGGGTAAAAACAGGTGTGGAGGAGGAGGATGGGGAGTGGGAAGAGGTAGAGGTGAAGGTCGAGAAGAAGGAAGGAAGTGAGGCGGATGAGGCTGGGGTAGAGGAAGACGGGAGTGAAGAAGGAAAAGAGAACGATAAAAATGAAAGGAACAGAGAGAGAGAGAGAGAGAGAGTGAAGAAAAAGAAATAAAAATATGCTGAGTGGTCATCGTCAGACATAATAAATGCGGGTTCACGTGAAAATTAGGCACCCCAGCTTATCTCATCTTATAATTTAAACATCCAAACGCTACCTGGGGGTGGAGGGGGGTAGGTTAGGTTAGGTTCGGTGAGATTAGGTTAGGTCAGGTTACGTTAGGTTAGGTTAGTCTTCATCTGCTCATGGTCACAATTCACGCCCCATACTGTTGTGGGTGGCGAGTCCTGTGCTTTCTATCTTATTACCACCATCTCTCTCTTATATCCTCTATGTTTCCTCTCACTTCTCTTACAAATATAAAACAAATAAAACTAAATAACGGGTGATAAGGACTGTCAGTTACAGAGCGATGATTACAGACGCTAGGGCCCTCGAGCTGCCCGAAAGGTCCTCAGGAGGCAGACGAAAGTGGCCATCTGACGGCTATTTTGGACCGTACCCAAGAGCCATTTGACACGCTCCATACTCACACGCTGCCGTAAATGTAAGCGATACACGATATAAGTTGGTCTTACCTCTCTCTCTCTCTCTTGTGTAAGTACAGACAAATATAACGTATTATGAAAGGCCATATGAGTCATTACAGTGCGAAAATGTTAAAAAGAAATAATGAAAAATACTGAAAACTCTGAAACACAAGAAAACCATAGAGGAAGAAACTGTAAACACGAGGAAAGTCTTAATGAGGACGAGGCAACACAAAAAGTTTAATGGAAACTTGTAAAAGATAATTTAATGTCGGGTAGAAAAACTTGGGTTGACAGGGTGAACCAAATGTGTGAGGGTCGAGGCACCTATGTTTCACGGCTGGTGCAGGTGTCTCTTATGTTGTGGCCGGGCACACTGATGACACAGAGGTGCTCTTCCTCTTCCTCCTCCTCCTCCTCCTCCTCCTCCTCCTTCTTCTTCTACCACACACGTGTAAAAACTGTCAACACACATATGCAAAGACTATTATCGTTGGCTGTTCCTCTACTCATATGTGCAGGGCAGTCACCCACCAACACCATCATATATTAATCCCCAGATCCGTTTCACAAGACACATTCATTATCCACCATAACCCCCTTCCTTCCATCCACTATAACCCCCCTTCCTTCCTTCCACCATAACCCCCTTCCTTCCATCCACTATAACCCCTTCCTTCCAACCCCCCTTCCTTCCATCCACTATAACCCTACTCCCCCCTTCCACCACTACCCCTCCTCCCCCTCCACATCAGCAACCACTTAACCTCCTCACCCAACACAGGTTCAGGAAATACCAGAGTGAATTATAAGTCTTAAGTATGATGAAAAGAGGAGAGAGAGAGAGAGCATTATCCCAAAATTCCTCCTATTTCTCCATCAGCATTAATAGTCACCCTTCATGCTTCGGGTAGTGGTGTAATGAACGAGTGTAATTTTGGTTGTTTGTAAACACTCGCCAAAAAACAACTAATTTCCTCCACTTCTACCGTCACACTGGCAGCCCCCACCACCACACACGGCACCAACCACGCTAACTGGCCATAACCATGAGTTGTATGTGTCCAGACTCTCCTCACTCCCTCTACGGTATTAGTTAAGGAGGTCAGTGTCAGCACCATAGGATTTATGATAGAGGAGAGTGAAGGTTTTTCTTAATTAGTGTTTAGAGGTGGTAAGAGTAGTTAGTGCCGTGAAGTGTCTGTTGGGGGATCTGTGTTTATATCTTGTACAGATACTCGTGTTAAAAAGGAGCATTTTCATAGATACCAAAATATTGACATTATTATCTAAATTAAGGTGAACAAATGGACACTGTATGATGGCGGTGTTTTGGGGGGAACAATTTGTGAGTTATGCAGTTCTTTATGCTGTAATTATTCAATATATTTACAACTGTAATAACATTGTTGCTTCTTGTCGCTGATCACGGGGATACAGTGGTACCAGCACTCAACATGGGAATCATGGGCACCCACTGGTATCACTATATCGAGAAGGCCAGGACCTGACCCTGCCTCGTAGTGCCCTGAAGTCCTGAGATAGCTGCTTTAGGATATCCCTGAACGAGTTCCTGAGATACGGCAGTAGACTCAGCGCTGATGTGTCTGACGTATGGGAAGATGGACGGGTTTGCTTAAGTATGTTTTAACAAGGACACAGGAGGTTAAAGAATATACAATAAGTTCAACTACAGTGGAAGCATCACATGAGAAGCCTGGCCTATACTGTATACCTAAACCTAAAATTAAATGATATTTTTTTATTAAAATTCTCCGAGAGTGATTATGATGGCGGAGCCCTTAAGTGGAGAGTCGGCCGGAGCCCCAGGAGGTGGACCTTGTGGGACTTTATCACCAACATCCGACAGCCAACCCATCCTGGACGCTGGATCACCACCCACAAGAGACGGTCAGCACAGCACCCACAATCTCATAAGCTAACACGATAAATCTTCCCTAAACTGGAGATCCAAGACCGCATCTACCTGACACATTAAGTAAACCACAAACAAGGTACAAAAATTACACTGCGACTTGACTTAACTTCTCAAACGTTCGCCAGTTAAATTGTCCATGTTTCCAGAGGAGCAAGGACACACGTAACTGCCTCACTTAAGCTACAACACAAAAACAACGTCCAATTATCGCATCGAGACTCTACCCTAACTATAGTCTCGTTCAGCTGTCTGTAGTTAGAGTATGAAACATCACATGCGAACCTTCGAGGACTTTCCAGGGCAGTATGTTTATCTGGGCGGGCAAGGGGGGGGGGGGGCAGATTCTGGTGCGGGTAAGAGCTAATTCATGCCACTTTAACAATAATAATACTCGAAAAATATTTATTCAGTAATACTGTCACACAGGTTTACAATAGTAAAGGCGTGTATATAACTATAGGGGTGTACAGTACAGTACATTTAAGCGTAAATATAGATAATGTAGGTATACGGTGCAGGTAGGCTGTGTGCCGAGACAGTGCAGGTAAACAGTAAGACAACATGACCAATGATAGCCGACAAAGCCACCAGGTGCTTATTTCCAGGAGGGTCTTCTGCTTAGTCTCTAATTATGATAGTAGTAACAGGAGTAATAGTGAAAGTTGTTTGATAAATTCAACAAGCCTTACATTGCACTTGAACTATCCGAGGCTGGTGGATCACTTCAACAATACGACTTTCTGTGGTGTAATGGTCAGCTTGCTCGCCTCGCAAGTGAGCGGACCCGGGTTCGGACCTGGATGTTAATCGATTTGCGGATCGTGTTCCTGGGTAATGGTTAGCCAGTGCAGTTGGCGAGTTGTCCGGTCTTCTCGGACTATTCCTTGACACTGGGTCATGCAACTCAACGTCTATAGACCCTGATGTCACCCGTGGATCAATTAGCTCGAACGAACAATGAACAGGTAG